TGCAGTCTTAAGGTAAGTTTGCACAACTGTTACTTAGTTATTAGTACTGCCATTTTGCTTTAGCTAGCTTGTTAGCCTTAGACATAGGATATACTGTTTGCAACTAGTAGCTTTAGCTTTAAGCAATTCTTTTTATAACTCTCTAGCTATACAATTGCTAAGCAGTTGCTGCTAGGTCTTAGCATCCTCCTAGGCCTTTATAGCTATACAGGTAAAGTTTGCAATAGCATTTGCATAGCTATTTGCAGTGTAAAGATAGGAAGTTATTATGCTTTTAACTAATCTTTTAGCCTCTAAGCATGTCTTAACTATTTAGCAACAAAGCTTTTTATCCTTTTTTAGAAAGGGTTTAAAGGTTTTTCTAACCTTACTATACACATATTGCGTAAGGTTTTTCTATAACTAGTAGATATACTTAACACTTCTCTAGCATAATAAACAAGTCTTTTTTCTATAAAGCCTTTAGCAGCAACTTTTGTTTTTGCAGCTAGCTTGCTATGTAATAGCCTTTCTAGCTGCAGTAATAGCATTACTTAGTCGCTAGCTAGTTAGACTTATAATAGCAGTTTTCCTAAGCCTTTATAGCCAAACCTTTGTCTTTAGGCGCATTGCTTTAAGACTGTTCCTAGCAGTTAAAGTCTTTGCTGCTTTGTTAAAGATTGCGTTTTAAACTATTGCCTCTTTAGGCTTTCTTGTCTCTTTGGCTTTAGTAGTAGTAAATAGCCTACTTTGCTACTTTATAAAGGTTGTTAAGTTTAACCTAGTGATTGCAAAGCTTTTCTTATAGCTAGCTATGCAGCTATTGCTAGTATTCCTAGGCATTTTGTTAGCAATTAGTCTGCAACTACTTATTGCTTTTTACTTTTTGTAAAAGACTATACCAAACATAGTAGAAAGTTAGAAAGTCTTTGCTGTTATATTAGAAAAGAGTATGACATTGCTTTTGGTATTTGTATTGACGTGGTGAATGGAAAAGGCACGGGCTGCTTTAGGCTAGGATGAGTCAGCTTCGGACTGGATTTTCTGCGCTTCCATATAAGAGCGCGATTAGGGCTTCAAATTGTAAGATCATGATTAATTACGCAGACTTACACGGATTTACAAGCAGCACTCTTTACACCTTAGTTATTTCCAAGCTTTCTACGCAATAATACTTGATTTACCGCATTCCATTCCTTCCTTACGCCTTCAATTCAATTGATCACGCCGCTGGCGTTTTCCTACCTTACTTACACGACTGGATTTGGGCACTACCGCGAGACGTATTGGGGCTGATTAGGGTCACCTGACTAGTCACGTGCGCCAGAGGTAAGGAAGAAGCACGATTCCATCCGCCTGCCAGCCGATCACGTGGCTACTGCCGTTGGGGCCTACGCCTTAGCAGCAGTATACTCCGTTGAGAGGTAGGTAGGTAGGTGGTTTTGTGTCTCTCCTCCTTAGTATTCTAGTAGCTTAAGAGAGATGTGTTTTTTCTAGACAAAGTTGCAAAAGTCTTCCTATGTAACCTATTGCCTGTTAGTCTTTAACTAGGCAGAGTATAATTGCTACTCTCTCTGCATGTTAGAATCTATAGGTTTTTGCGCCTAGTAGATTAGTAGGAGGTTTAAGGCACTCTCTTAAATCTCATTTGCCTTTTCCAAGCCTGCTAGCTAATTGATAATCTCTGCTGCAGAAGCGTCTTTATATAGGATGCCTACATTGTAAAAAGGCAGTTTATTGTCTCTTAATTAGCATCTAGTTATTGTCAAGGCATTAATTAGAGCCTAACTAAGGTCTATTTTGTAAGACCTTGTCAAGGTTTGCATAAATGCCTTGCTAGCATGTCGAAACTTTTGTAAAGCTTTGTAATCTTTTTCCAAGATAAGCCGTTGCCTCTTAGATAGTTGCGTATCGCGCTATAGTTAGCTTTAAGGCAGCAACGTGTTGGAATCCTTTCGGATAGATTGGGATTGTCTAAGACTTAGGTCTCTCTCTTAAAAGCTTTCTCTCTCTTTAGTCCTAGTTGCTGTTTGGTTAGAAGGCAATTGCCATTTAGGCGCTGCGCCTTTCTATCAGCATTCTCAAGCTATATTCCTAGCCTATGCTTCCTGTAAAGAATAGGAAGTTGAAGAACTGTAAGAGGTAGGCTAATGCCTTGCATAGGGAAAAGATATAGCATGTAAATGTAGTAGGAGCCAAAGGTAGGGCTGGTATTTAAACTTGAACTTTAACTTACCTTTCTTACAGTTGTGTATGCAAAGGGTTTTCTATTGCAGATAGGTTAAAGCCTTGGCGGAACCTAATTCCAAATGTAGGTTGGCTTCTTAACCTAACTGCCCATGTGAGAGTTCTTACACTTGTCTACCAAGTCTAGCGGCAGTTCCCTTAACTGCAAGTGCATATGCTTAGCGTAAAGCAGCTAGCGACTGCCTTTTACTTAGGTAGCAGATTTAGGCTAGCAAAGCGCCTTTGTTAAAGTTGATTATACATATTAAGAGGTTGGCTATTTAATTAGAAAAAGCTTACCACTAGGTATGTTAGTTAGGTAAAAGATAGATAAGGCTAAAAACTTGTATGTCTTGGAGTTAATAAGTCAATGATAATTATTTATACATGTATTATACAAAGCAAAAGAATAACATGCTAATTATATCTAAAATAGCTGATAGGATTAGCGCACTATATTGTCTTTACCTAGCTTAACCTAGGTTAGTTTCTTTTCTTCTAGCCAATAATAAGATTGGCATGCGACTTGGTTGACTTGACTTAGTTGACTTGACTTGGTTGGCTTAACCTAGGTTTGCTTAACATAGGTTAGCGCAACCTAGGTTGGTTGCTTTCTAGCCAATAATAAAATTCGCATATGACTTTGTTAGCTTAACCTAGTTAGCTTAACCTAGGTTGGCGCAACCTAGGTTAGTTTATTTCTGCCTAATAATAGGTTTGGCATGCGACTTAGGTTAGCTTAACCTAGGTTAAGCTAACAAATCTAGTGCCTTGCACTAGCCTTGTAAATGGAACAATTTAAGCTTATCAAATCAAAGATTTTGCGTAGTAAATTTGAAATTGCAGTGGCAAATAAGATAGCAGAAGAACTGCGACGAATTATCAAACTTGTCAAGCTATTTAACGCAGCAAAGGTATAGTTTCCTAAGCTTGCTGCTTCCACTAAACTTAGCACCTATATAAGACTTGGTAGATGCAAGGACTTTAGAGACTATTGCTTAGGGATTGCCAAGAAAAGCAACTCTTGGCAAAAAATTTGCAAATCTAAGCTAGATACACTATTGTTTTTAAATATCTGCTTTACTATAAGGCAGCTAGAGGATGTTACTTTCAAAGCTTCCAAGATAAAGGTTTATGTCAAAGCTTATCCCAAGTTAAAAAATACAAACATATAAAAGCTTATTAAATATAGGCTAAGTCTTTATTTAGAATATGGCAAAGACAAGTGCAAATCGCTTTGGAAATGCATTTTAGGGTTTGTTATTAGCTTAGAGGCTTTAAGGCTAGCAATAGATACATACATAGACATAGATGTAGAGATAGATGCGACTGCAACAGAAGGCATTAGCTTTCAAAGTTAGTTATATCTATTAGATAACCTAAGGCTATGCTAACATTTATACCTTGCATTTGAGATTAAAGAAAGCAACTAGCTAAAATATAGACGCTACTTTAAGAAGTAGCTTATAAGGTAGGTATTAAGTATAAGTTAAGGTGTTATATAGCTAAAGGTTGCATTAACTTGCATTGTAAGCATAGGCAAGAAAAAGATGCCACTTAGGCTTTAGGAAATAGTTACAAAAGGCGCTAGCATAGCTGTAGGCATAGGTAGGCAAGCAAACAACATACTAGCCTAGCTAGACACTAAACATCATATAACAGTCCTAGACATGCTCTAGTTATATACCTCTCTAACCTAAGTTTTTATATTCTCTATAACTAAAGAGACTACCTTTTGTATAAAGGATTGCGTCTTTAAAATGCAGTTAAGCTATATTATACACTTTAAAACACTATGCTAGCTTTAGGCTTTATTCTTGACAATAGAGAGACTATAAATTTCGCAATAGCATTCCCTTACTACCCTTAAGACTTATATGTAGCTTTAATAGTACTTAATAATTAGAAAGGAGAGAGAGCTAACAAGAATAGCTCTATTTATGTCTACTCTGCCTACACATTTCAAAGTTAGACTTTATATTACTGTAGAATACTGATACATTTCCTTTTAATTAGCTTATGTCTTTCCCTTCCCCTTCTTTTATATACCTACATCTCCTTCTCTTTAGCCTAGAGTGTCTTGTCTTTGTTGTCATTTTTTATCAAAGTGTTTAACAGAAGGATAAAACACCTTGCAGTTTTGAGAACTGTTAGCCTAGGAAGACCTTGAAATTAGCTTGAAAAGCCTAAGAGTTTTATGTTTAAAGCAGCGCATTTTTCCTAACATGGTGCAGTCTGTACTGGTTAAGCATGCGATGGTGTTGGGGCATATGAGGGCAGGATAGGCAAAGACGATGCTGGAATATGTAGATTAGCAGGAAGCTCGATGGAGATCAGAATCAATTCCAAGACCACCTACCTGCATCTGCTGCAGAATTATTTGTAGGCGCTGCTGACCAGATCACAAATCGCTGCCTGCCAGAAGTATCGCTGACCTGACCGTTGACCAGCATACCGAAAAAATAATTGTCTGATGGGATGCCTAACCAGAGGTGGGTGTCTGCCGACGGGAAATTCGCGCCGCAACTGGCGCACCGGATTAATTGCCGCGGGGTCCATTGTGTTGAATTGAGTGGGTCAAAGTTATATTGAAAGGTGTGTGTCCCCGCAGGTCCCCAGTCATGCTGGGGGGCCCCTAGACTCCCATAAATACAGCCAAAATAACCCCTCTTTTGATACCCAATCATGAAATGGAAGAAGCAATTACATTCGGACCTCAATTAGGCCGGTCACCTGACCTTGAATCTATCAGGATGCTGCAAGGGGTTATTTATTGTGGGTGATTGTTGGGTCAAAGCACGTACCGCTTGTGTCTTTCTTTTTTTCGGTCAGACGCCCAAGTCAGGCACCAAGGCTAAATGCATTCCATCATAAAAGCCCCATACGGACAACCGACAATAGACTCGACAACAACAGGCTCGCGCAATCGAACATCACTTTGAGTGAGGAGCCGTTTTATTTGTCAAGCCTATACGGAGCTAACTGTATAAATAGGTTTGGCCCCCCTTGACACTCAAAACTTGTAAAGCGAGTGTCCTCAACAGAGGAACAGAGAAGCTTCGGAGTTTGCGATGCCTACTATTGGTGCGGATGCTCTCAACGGCACGAAGGAATACATCAAGGGAGAACACACCTTTACGGTTGGCGACCAAACATCGGTAATCGCAACCGGGATGCTGATTATGATCTTCCCAGCCGGCGAGGTTCAAGCCTGCTGGCACGGGAAGATCACGGGGGCGACGGGGCAACCTGTGTCACGGGGATACAGAGTTCGAGTGTACAATGCGGATGTGGAATTCAAGTAGTGGACAGTAGCATTACAGGTAGCTTTGGTCTTATAACAAGCGAAAGTCCAAATACTAAAGGATTTGCCAACCTGTCTTATATCCTACCCTTAGAAGAAGGAGATGTCCTGCGCATCGGTATTGGGAATCATAGCAATAATAGAGTCTGTCCGCATTCCACCCGATGGAGACAACAAAGCGTCTCTCCCGGAGGCGGCGGCGAGGACAGATGAGTCACAGGTGCAGTTAATAAGATGCGGGGTAACAAACGCCAAACCTGCATAACATGACCGAATCCTCTGAGGTTAGCGTTGGAAGACTTGCGCTATTAATCTCGGGAAATTGGTTAATCCGCTGCTGACGGCAGTGGGCCGCAGCGGGTCCAAATTGGGTGGCAAAGTGGCCCAATGCTTTAAATACTACGGACGATCCTCCTTTGACATTTCCTGCTTCACCCCTGATTCTGATTATTCCTATATAAGCTTTTCACGACTTCCTGGGTTAATTTTGTCCACATCGAAGATGGCTACTTGTGAGACTTGCAACGGCAAAGGTTTCAAGGGAATCATCTGCCCTACCTGTGGCGCAGATCCAAAAAAATAGGACTGGAACATCTGGGTAAGTAGCATATATCCACCCTTTCTCGTTTCTTGTTGTGGCTGACCATTTACTCATTTGGAAAAAAACGTCAAACTCCTCGGTGTGTTGTGAGATTGGATATTTAGTACCATCGAGCTGGGCGTTGCAAGGAAGCATGGTGTGGCATCTGGTTCTGCATGTGATTGTACAAATCACCTACCAAAAGTCATTAGCCACTTTAGGAAAGCCCCACTTCCATACACTTCTACAACCACCTTTATCTTGATATTGCACAACAACTATTATAGTAAGACTAATATAACTATATACAAAATGAAGCTGGAAATCTGGGCATTCTTATGATACTAATATTGCCTTAGTAATGAGTAGCCCCGCTGTGATTTTTGATCACTTCTTTGCAGCGCTTGGCGAATGACCTCACTATGTTAACCCAGTCTGCTGGTGTAAGTCGGTCCTATTCTTCTTGAAGTATGGTTTCCATCTCTTGGATCGAGGAAATTCGATGGCGCTGCTGTGAGATTTGAAGCTTTATGATCCTCCAAAGGTTCTCGATTGGGTTTAAATTGGGGGACTGGGCAGGCTAATCAAGGATCACTATTCCTAAAGCTGCTTGATGACTTTGAGTTGCTTTTGAGGTGTGATATTTTGTCCTATCTTTTTGCCAAATTGCATCCCTATGTTCTTCCATGACCTTCTGGTAGAATGGATGTGCTTTCTTATTCAAAACCAGTCTAATATACTTCTGTGAGTTTATCTGCGCATCGCAAGGCACAATGAGAAGCTCTGACTTGAAGTTCATCGAAATAGCTCTCTAAATTCCCACAGCTAAGCGTCTAGACTTAAAGGTTAGCTTTAGGTTTCGAGACTTGTATGCTTGGCCACGTTTTCGCCAAACCTATGGCGGCTGAGAGTCGATTCCAATCTCGAAGGTTGACTTGTCAGAAAAGCAAATACAAGCCACGTCGTCAAGCTTCCAATGCTGCATCTGGCGAGCAAATCGAAGGCAGGCAAGCTTGTAGGCCTTGGTAAGATATGGCTTCCGGCGCGGGCGAAAGGCGTAGTATTTGTTCTTAGCCAAATACTGGCAAGTAGTGTTGTTAGAAAGTCGCATCCTGGTCTTTGAGGGCGTGCCGAGACATGCTAGTGTAGAGAAGGGATTAGTAGCGATATATTGAACAAGCTGGCATTCTGCGTGTAGATTAAGCTTTGGCAGCCTTTTAGTTTGAACTGCTTTCTTCTATTCGTTTCCTAGCGATTTTCATAGCTGTCGAAGAATCTAGGTAATAGTTGACTTTAGAAGGCCATTTTCAAGCTAGATTTTTGAAGCTAAGTAGCCTATACAGTGTAAGGCCTAGATAACTGCAATTGTCTTAGAAGAATGCTCCTGGCGGCTAGTAACTGGCTAGTACGGCATTTTTGTGGGTTTTTGTAGGTTGTTGTGGGTAAAAGGAAGGTAGGAACGCGTTGATGATAGAAGACGCGTTGTAAAAAAGTGGAGATTTCCTAAAGTGGCTAATGACTTTTGGTAGGTGATTTGTACCTAAACTTTGGTGATTCGTGTGAGGTTTTTTGTCGCGGCACCGGCGGCATATTCTTAGCTGTATGAAACGGTTCTGACTTGAATTTAAAACGGTCGTCGTGAGCTTATTGACCAGCACCAAAACAACCCCGCTCTAGTACTGTCGCTAAAAAATAAGGCGCCACATTTTTTTTTTTTTTTGACAAGTCTGCATCTCTAGGCACAACGCCAAGACAAACGCAAAACCTGCGCAGCATGACTGCATCTTGGCATTCCATTTAGCTGCAAAGGTGTTGCGATTAGCTTTAACCACCTGATTACAAGATGGCTGGTTAGCTTAGGCAACGCCCTTCTCGCCATGCATTTGAAATTCGAATGTCGCGAGGCTGGTTTTGTCGACAAGGATGAGAGAAGGTGAGTGGACAAGACGGGAGTGGCTTGGCCTAACGTGGAATAGGGAGGCCAGAGTGGAATGTTTAATAATCTGGGACCTCGGATCGCCCCGCCCCGCCGCTCTTGGCAGAACTGCTATGGCTGATTTGTAGGTCCTAGTCTGCTGAAGCAAGAGCCTCTAGTAGATAGAATATTCCCTTTATAGAATGGTAATATATTATACCTAGGCTTGGAAAAGGTTTTAAAAATTAGTAACACGTGAGTTTTATTCGTCGCTAGGGAGGGCCTCTTAGCAAGCGGTTTAAGGTTAATCCTATCCATAGATTTCTTGCTGAAACAAATCAGTGTCCTGCATTAACGCTTTCCTAGGAGACTCTAGAGACTATGTTGTTGAGTTTCTTGAAAGCCTGTGTCACGCCTCAAAGGCCTAGGTTAATATTGCCCTAGCTCCCACGCGCGGGGCCTAGGAAAGCCTAGTGGCTAAGGTGGCTTTGTCTGCCACATAAAGTGGCTTTGAGTGATTAGCATAAGCGTAGCCTTTAATTAGAAAGCCTTGTAATTAGTATAGTTTTGCCTTACAGGGTAAGAAGGCCTAGCTAGCCTAGCCAACTAGTCTTACAAGGTCTTTGCAAAGGGCTTGCGTAGGAACCTCTAGGCAGCCCTAGGTTAAAGACTGCGATAGACTTGCCTAAAGGTTTACAAAGGCATGCTTTAATAGACGTTTTGACTAAAAAGCTACTCAAGACAGCTTCTTACGTACTTTACTAGCAATACTATTGCAGCAAACCTCTTTGTCAAAACCTATGCCAATTAGCTACCTTGTATAAGTTAATTAGACTAATTACTCTTATATTTCTATCTTGCTGCTAACTTAAGTCTTGCAACCTATTATAAGTTTAAAGCCTCTTTTAACAAGCTTGCTATACAGTATGCTTTTGCCTTTGATTTAATATGCTAACTTTACTAAATTCTACAATGTTAAATAATAATAACAATGCTAGCATGCCTAATCAACCTACTATTAACCTTGCTGTTAGCTTTGCAATAGTTAAATAGTCAAACCTACTACCTTACTAGCTAGATAAGTAGCTTTTACTACTACAAACCTAAAAGGCTACCTAGCTTATAATGTTAACTATGTCTCCTCCTACTTGCATAGGCAAATCTAATACTATATAAATAGCGCTTATATTTTAAGCAACTAGCTAGCTGCTTTTGTCAAGGTAGTAAAGCTTTGCAATAAAGCGTAGCAATTTACTAGCCTAGGTTTAAAGACTAATAACAAGTTATTGCAATCTACTAGTATGCTAGGCTTAAGTATAGTCTAAGAAAGCTAACAAGCTATCTTTTAGCTTAAGAATACAGCTGCAAATCTAGCTTAAAAAGCCTGCCAAAAGCTTAATCAAAGGTTTTGCCAGTCTTTTAGTCAAGGTTTTACCTAAAACCTTACTAGCTATCTCTTAATAAAGATAACAAGCTTAACAATTACTTTAAAGCTTACCTTGGCTTAAAAGGCACTTATATTAACAAGATTACTATATTAAAAGCTAACAAAAGTCTTGCCAACTACTATGCCTAGTTTAACAACCTTAAGACTACTTTTATTGCAAACTTTAACTAGTACCAAACTACTAATATTTAAGATGCCTTTACTACTAGCTACTTTGATTAGATAACAAAAAATTGTTAGCATATAGCAATCAATGCTTACTTATATATATGCTATTACTAGTATAAATTTGTCTGCTAGGTTTAACAAAACCACTCTTATATGCAAGCTAACTATTAAGACAACCTTTAAAAGTAGTTTGAAGCTTAGCAAAAAGATAGTAAAAGCCTAGTTAACTTCTATACTTAACTAAAGTCTTTAGCCTTTAAAGCTAGTTAGACAATTAGCTATAACCTTCTCTTATACTAATTTACTAGCTAGCTATATAATAGCTTTATATAAATCAACTGCATTAGTATTGCTATCAATTAGTTGCTTAACAATATCTAAAAGGTTTAAAAAACTTATGATATTAACAAGTAGCTTTAACCTAACTGCAACTTTATAAGCAACAACTAGTCTTATAGCAAAGACTATAAACACCTAGCTAATAATAACTATAATAGTAATTGCAGCAACTGCAATAACTATAGTTAAACTTTTAACTACAATTATTTAGCAAGATAACTAATGCTAAAAAGCAACATTGCAAAAACTAGCGCCTTTCCTTTAAGTATAGTAAGGCAAAGCATATCTTAAAAGACTGCTAAGTTAGTATAACCTAAACCTACCTACCAATACTATTACAACAACTTTTTTAATAGCATTTGCAAATGCTATCTATAAGACTAAAGCTTAACTAGCTATTACTAGAAAGGTTGAACTTAATTGGTGCAGCTTTTTAATGCGACGGATTTAGCGCGATTTACTATTATGATCTTTTAGTTTATTTTATTTACTATTAGCATTGTCATAAAAACCTCGATGCTTCCAATTGGAGGATCAACACATGGCAGGAGTAGATGAACTGTATTTCCCGTCCTGGGCTTAAATGGATGATGCAGTCCTCCTGCAGCCTCGGGAACAGCGATGACCTCAATGAGCCGTGCTATGGTACATTCGCCAGCATCATCTGACCTTAACCTTAGACTTTATAAAGCACTATAATATCTGAATCCTGGAAGCTAATTGGTTAAAGTTGCTTCAGAACCCTTCGACTTAGAGCTCCACCGCCGCCGGAAATCGTCGTCGGGTTTCGCACTGCGTCGCCTGCCGAAAAACCGGACGACATCTGGGTCTCCATAGGCCCATGGGTTATGAGATGAACCGCACCTGCAGTGCCTGGTGCGTCTCTCTTGTGCGTTCGGGCCATTCCCCAGGAGGTTAAGCCCGACAACCTACTGCCATCACCATTCGTACGTTAAACATGTCTATCCCAAATTCGAGCCATTTAGACGACCTCCCCTATGTCGATGTACACAGGCTCCCAAGACTTTGCATCGTCGGCGAGCATGTCACTAGGCACCCGCACGTTCTCTGCGGGGATGTAGAGGTACCACGCCTCGAGGGAGTTCATGGTGGCCTTCTAGCAGGCGGAGTCGAGGTTTGGGCCGGCGCCTAAGCTACCTGCATTGGCACCGGAGGATGGCCCCGGCTCGGCGGCTTTCTTTTTGCGCACCGGGAGCTACGGTCGGAGCTCGATTCGTATGGCCGGGAGCTGCGGAAGAGCTGCAGGGCTAGATCCTCCGGGGCTGGGCGGAGGGAGGAAAGGATATGATCTCCTCCTGTAAGCTGGATCTGACAATCTGCACCAAGGACCAGACAGCACATCCCCCCATCGCTCCACCACAGAGATAGCCCAAGAGGTGGGGCACCACCGTGGGGTCCGGTTGGCAGCTGCGAGGTTCAAGAAGGTCGGCCACACTTTGGAACCCAATCCTCTGGGGGCGTCACAGACAAGGTTCACCGTCCCCAGAATGGAGAACGCGCTCTCCGGGGCTAAGAGACAGGGAATATTTCTTAGGCAGGCCTAGTGGGAGGCCACGGCGCTGGACATCATGATGCTGACGCTGCTCAGCTCGCGCAAGCGCACCAAGGGCGACTGGCGGAGGCTCGGCGAGAGGCTTGCTGGGTTGAAGATTACCAACATTTACAATTGTCGCGTAAGGACGACGTCATCGACCATGCCAACGCCTTGAAGACCGGCGGAGGAAGAGCGACAGGGACCTCCGCGTAAAGAAGGTCAGGAAGCTGGCGGCGCCGACCGCCTTCTTTAGCAAGCTGCTGCCCGTCGGCGTCATGGTCAGCACGATCGCATTAAAAGTAATGCTACGTGCTAACAAAAACTGCTGATTGGGACAGATTGCCCATGTTGTCCGTGCCTTTTTCACTTAATGCCATTCGAGTCCCGTTGGCTGCCACCGATTGTGTCTCTGCGAAAGACGGCGGATGGATTCACGACCCTGTCCCACACTGATTAGGGATAGGGACTTACAGCCGTCGGCAACATTCTCCTCGGCAACAGGCTTCCCTTCTCTGGCTAAGCTGGATATGGTCAGCCATTTCCGCCAAGTCACAACACTAGACCTTCCTCCAAACAGCCTGCCGCCATCCCGCTCCTGACCCTACCTTGACATCCATCCGAGCGGGAGCGCAGGATTGCCACCGAGCGCCTTGTCCGCGAGCACAAGGCAGTCGCCAAGGACTAGGTCAAGATGGCCTACCACAGCTGCTTGGGATGTTATTTGTCAGACCTCTCTTATTAGCAAACACAAGCGTCGCGAACTTGATAGCCTCTTTGTATGCAGCTAGGATGCCAAACTCGTCGCAGGTTTGTGCAACAAGACAGACAAGAACATCAAGTGATATGGACGCCTGTCTACACTCTCCCGACCCTGCGCTGTGTTTAGGGAAATGGCACCTTTGACTACACTGCTGCTCTCGAGTTTGCGGCTAGGCACTTGAAGATCAACATAGTATCACGGTGCCGCTTAGGGGAGCTAATTGCGGCTGCAGATTGGCTAGACCATTGCCGGCGCTGACATCGACACCGTTCGTAAGGCCATTCCCGCCAGCATTGCGCTTGGTGTCGATGAGTGCGGTGTTCCTAAGCGCTTGCTCTAAGCAAGGACGTAGCTGGCGAGGCCGAGCTGCTTGGTTGTGTCCAGCCTTCTCGCAGAGGAGGGTGAGGGAACCACAATCTCGTTGATGAGGATCTTGCTCTGCCCACGCACAAGCGCGGGCTTGAGGATCTCCAGGATCGCGCGGTACTATGCGTCAGGCCAGTCGTGCAGCAGCATAGCTAAAGGCATCGAAGTAGATAAGCTCTAGGCGCATGTAAAGGCGGCACAGCAGCACCATGCGGTGCTCTATGACGCGGACCTTGACGCTGAGGCATTTGCCAAGATGGACAACGCCTTGTAAGTTCGAAACCTAGTGCCTTGGTCAAGGGGATACCGGAGGAGCATAAAGGGGTTCTTGGCCGGTTGCGCCCCTGGAAACCCTTGAGGATGATGGCATTCCATTTGAACCTGCAGAAGACGAAACTCGAGCGGCGTCTAATTCCTAGTTCTCTCTCTTGCATCGCATCTCTACTATGTGAATGCAGCGCCTGCCGACCGCGCCGCGTCCACGACGTCCACATCCGCGTCCACCGCCACCAGGACCGGGACAGGCCTAGCCCCGCCGACGAGGAATCTGACGACCGGCTGGGTGGCGAGGGAGGGGTGGGGGGGAAAATCCTGACAGCTCTGGTAGAAAGTCCTTCCAAATAGGTCTTAGAACATATTCGGGAAGGCATATCCAGTTAGATGCTACTTGCTGAGCGCCTAGGGTAAAGCGATAGCAGCGGCAGCAAGGGTTATGCGCAAGCCTAGTCTAATTTTACAAGGGAAGAGCCTAATGACATCTATAAACATGGCTAGCCCTATGAGCGGGTTATTGTGAGTGAATCTAGAGCCGACGCTACCATCCGGCACTGGTCTTGGAAACGTTGGCTGCCGCGTTGATACTGGCAGTAGCGAATATTAGGTAGTAGAAGCTAGTGCAGTATAACATCACAGCGCGGCCGTTCCAGATGAGGAGCACCAGCTTCGAGAGGCTGTTGGTGAATACAGAATCGCAAAGGTCAGGCGTTTTATGTGCCGCTGTAGGTGACGGGGTTCGGGATGTGGCTGCCGGAACCGGTAGCATTGTCAGCATCATCAGCACGGTCCAGATGGTGAATGTGGACTTCACCGGGAGCATCGGCCTGGGTTCTGCAAAAGGCGCACAATTATACTTGCTTTGCAAAATGGACGAGGAATGTTTCCCTCCAGACCGCTGCGATAAGTACGTCCTGTAGATCTATTCGTTTGACCCTCACCAGACAGAAATCCTCCCTAAATGAGAACCAAGAGACGGTCCTATGAAGAAAGACAATGCATTCGGTAAGGTAGCCTATGCCCAACGTCCTTGAGATCCACTTTACGTATGGAGATACAGATCGAGCGGCGTCTGACACCTGGATTCGGTCTAGGGAGAGGCGAGAAGGGGCCGCCGGACGTGCCACTTGCGCTGGCAAGCTTCTCGGCCGTGACGTTCGAGGACATCGGCGCTGCCACGGTGGACGGAGAGGCGCTGGACTTGGCCGGGGAAAGGATCCTCAATATCGACCTCGAGGCGCCCGCCGGCTGGCTCGGATCGTCGCTGCGGCGACACTGGCTGGAGAGCTCTTGCTCTTCAACCCCTGTGCAGGCCCTGCGCGGGATCCTCCTGCCTAGAGAACAGCAGCAGAAGCAGGGCCAGTCAATGACGGAGCTTGAGTTGTGGAGGTTGGCCTGCTCGATTAGATGTCAAAGCTGCAATAAGCAGTCTAGACGCACGCTTCATCAGGTCGGCGCGGATGCGCTGCGAGACGGCCTTGCGCTGCATAATCAGCTCCGCTGTGTCGAACTGCGTGACGACGATTGACTTGAGGACCTTGTTGCCGATTGTCGAGAGCTGGCTAGATGCTTCTGTGACGCGGCTGTGCGTCTTGCGCAAAATCCAATGAAGTGGCAAAAGGCTGCCGATGAGGAATCCCATCTTATTTTCCGGCGAGGCGCGGATGCCGGCATTGTGCTCTTGAACCTGGTCGGAACCGGTTACCCTACTTCCGCCCGTTTTTACAAGCATTTGGTGCTACTCTATACAGGAACGCACACAGCCTGGCTTATGTTGTCGTTGTCGGCTATCATAGCAAGCTGCGCATTGCTGCCTCCGTCCACACTCTTCCCAAGCTTTCCCCTCTGCGTCAGCCTTCTGCCTAGATGGTCGAGAACCCGCATGCCTGGCTCGGAGCATCGAACAACCCACACCGCATTAAGGTAAACGCAATGCTAAAGCTCCTCAAACCTTCCCCACCTCGCCGCGCTGTCAAGGATGTACAGGAACGTCGTGCCAGGCGGCTGCTGCTTGTACGAGACGTCCGAGTGCTGCCAGGCCACCGAGCTGGTGCGGGCCTTGAAGAAGTCCCCGGCTCTGCCTTCTCGTGGGCCGTCCGTATCATCGACTCGTCAACTATCCACATCCTTGGTAGCGGCCTCCGTAACAACTATGGTCTTCCGGGAGAGTAGATCGACGTGATTGCCGAGTCTTCCAGCTCTCCGCACTTTGGCACAGCGAATTGGGTGACATGGTAGGAGCTGAGGACCAAGTCTACGCTTCTCTAGCAACGATCGTCAAACAACAAGAACAACAGAAAGCAAGGTGCTGTGGGCTAAATATTGTCTTCTACTTTGCCCACAGTATTGACTTGCACTTTGCGCTAAAGACGCTAGCGACGACAGAGGAGGAGGGCGCGCCAGGGACGCTGGTGGTTATTGTCAAGGCCGCGGCTCCAGCTAGCCGACGAGGACATCAACCGCATGTTCGACCAGGCCGCCAGGCGCGGTAACAATCGAGGTGAAGCTGACCAGCTTGTCACTGATGAACTCCCGCCCAAAGTAACCATCAAGAGCCCGGTAGAGGCTCAAGGGTCTAGAAGCGGCCAGGTTGGCTGTCACCCAGCGCTCTTGGTTAAGAATACCTCTCCACACTATCACACAATATAGGCTAGCTTACGCCGCCACGTTCTAGACATCATTGCAACATGCCGACCGCAAGGTCTAGGGACTACCAAGATTCAAACTCCGGCAGTGCGCCCTCGACAGGCAGCACATCCTCAACTGCGGCGCCGACACCACGGTACCCCAGGCCACCAGCAGGCCCGAGGAGCAGGAAAAGGAGGAAAGCCTGCAGACTAGTCGCCCAGTCCAATGCCGTCTCCGATGATCCGAGGATAGACTTGCGATTGATACCCAAGGGGTAGCCAAAGGTATAGATGCGCACATCTCGGAAAGACTCGTCGTTTGGCAGCCATTCTCAAGGCCAGAATAAAGACGCCTTGTCGTCTTTGCTCTAGGTGGAAAAACTTGACGTTTGTCAGCGCTAGCCCCTTGATGAATTGTAGGATTCAACGGGCGGTTTAAGATCGGCTTTAGATATTGGTTAATTCGCTTAGATGCAAACGCTAGCTCTCGAGAAAGAGGTCTCCAAACATCTAGAAGACGCAACACTCCCAAGATATAAAACCATCAATACGTAACTCGAATTTGGACCATCGTGTCTGTCCAAAACCTAAGAATCTTGCATTTCTAGCTCTAAGATTGCTAGCTATAGCAGTATGCATCAAGTTAAGGAACCCCAACGGTAGAATAGTTTATAAAATAAGTATCATGTATACATCACAAGTACAGGCGAGGCAAGTGTGGAATGCTTAAATCGCACACCTCTGAGAATACAGCTTCCATCTCCAAATTGACAATCAAGGGCTGAAAACACTTTGGAATTGGGAAGTCTCTGGCCGAAGCTTTTGCGCTAGACATTGTAAGATGTTGCTGGTAGATGGTAAGTGTTGAGTGTTGAGTGGTGAGTCGCGAGTGATGAGTTACAAGATCCAGAAGCTTTGGGATTGTCCTTGGTCAGGGACTTGACTAGCTTAATGCATTCCACGGCGAGCTCCAGGGTCTACTCTTCCGAGCGACATGAAAAGGCTCATTTGCCCTAAAGGCGATGTTTAGATAACTCTAATACTTTTTAAACATAACCTTAATTGCTTTAATTGCTAGCAGCAAGCATTTTTAACCTCTGGTCTAACTAGTTAAAAGTGCAATTATAGCATGCTTAACCTTTTTAACAATGAAGTTTTATCATTGCCAGAGGGACTAATCGAGCTCCTCGGGGAGTGGGAAGAAAAGAAAAGCCACGCTTTTACTTACCCTTGCCATGGCAAACCAGCACTCTTGATCGGTGACAAGCTAGGCGCGGCGTCTGAGCTGCTAGACAACTATATCGACGTCTCGAGGCCGTGGGCTAGAATATGCACGCCATTTAAGAACGGCAAGGCGTTTGGCGCTTTGTAAAGCTCTTGCCCCCTCACCAGTCATTGACATACCTATGCCCATCATCGCCGTGCACCGCCACACTGCCCCGGTGCCAACCGGGAAGCCGGAACGCCGGGTACAGCAGCGCCCACAGGTGTGTCCAAGAAGAAGGCTCCCAAGAAGGAGAGCACCACGGCCAAGAAGGTATGACATATCAGTCATGGCGCGTCCGCGCGGCCACATGCTCTCGGACGGCCCCATCGCGGCCACATCCCCGTCATCGACAGCTTCGGCTTTGAGACAGACCTGCGCATCAACACAAGGGTTTCGGGCCCAATGTCATGAAGCTGATAGGGACGACGGAGGAAGAAGCAAGACTAGGTAGGTTGCCAGCCGTAGGCGTCGCAGGGTAGATCGAATGTTAGGGAATAGGTGGGCGTGCTGTATATCCTCGAGCCCTCGATGGCAAATTTGCTGTCGGAGCATTTCAAACGGATTGACCGCCAACTTCGGATCCATGACACCGACCACGGCCCTCCCGGAACCGGCAAGACGCTGCTCGACAGAGCGCGCCGTCCAGGCGCCATATCAAATATTGCGCAAGTTCCGCATCGTCGGCAGTCCGAGCCGAGTTCCACGGCGCCACTCGGTAGAATTTCCAGGTGCTCTTTCCGCAAAACAGGATCTCGCTTTTGCCCAATTGGCCAGTCAGTCGTCATGGCTATCTGCTAACAACATTGCCGCAGGGATCTCCTTCAAAAACACTACTTGACATACCATGAAGCCAGGGATTACGCGAACTTGCTTCCCAACAATGCGTTCGGAAGAACCATTCCACACCAACAGACTCCACAGCTCAAGTCTAGACGGGCCTTCTTCCTCGAGTCTCGCCCTAACAGCACAAATGGCATTGTGGAAGTCACAGCCGATAGACTAAAGCATGTCCTCCCAGATTTGTCAAGCGCTACCACAACTGTATACGAGTATAGCGGGTTGCTTTACGGGCTTGTTCTGGGAAGGAAGCTGTCTTTCATGCTCTTTAGTAGTGATGGAGAAGATTATGATGCTGCCTAGGATGAGTCTAGTGCCGGTATGTCAGTGAAGAGTTTAATCGCAGCGTTGTACAGATTATCATTAGCAAGACAGTTTAGGGTCTTGACAATTCCGGCATTCTACGCTCCTGCCCTTAAACAAGCGTCCATTCAGATGCTAGCTTACCCCCCCAAGCCTCTCAGTCTTAGACTCGGCCCTCATCTCCTTGATTAGCTTCCTGTAGCTAACAAACAGCATGCCCCTAGCTAGCGATCAAACATAGGGAGCTCTGTTTCCGCCGTCGTGCTTCTAGCCCAAAGCACTAATACTCTCAATGTTAAAGATGTCTAATGTTTGGCCGTTCTCAAGATAGATAGCGTAAACACTTAGATTTTCCTTAAACTAGAAGTAGCCAAGGTTTGCCATTTGACTAACAGGCCTGCAGAAGGGATTAGTCACTGCACATGGACTAGTCTTAAGATCTAGCAGGTGCTTCCGCTTTGTATATAGAGAGATGACGAGATATCTGGCTGCCGATTGCCAATGATCTCTGTCCTAAGGATTGGAGTCTGGGGTAGAAGTTTCTCGAGCACAGCACCAGTTTAGGGTGGACTTGGGACAGCACTTTCGAGATGCTTGAGTCTGGATGCGAGGGTATCTTGCTTGCGTTTCAGCGCCTCGACGCGGCGCTGCTTGGACTCTATGGCGTCGACTGTCTCGTACTTCTTGCCTGTGTGGCTTTTATACTTGTCTAGGTTGATGGTGACCGTCTTGGTGCCGATTTCTGGCTTGTGAGCGGGGCGCATGTTACGGGGTGGATGTTTGCCGGGTGCGGTGACGGAGCTGCGGATTGGGTTTGGGCGACCTTCTCTTGCAGGCACATCGGTGTTTGCCTCCTTGGCAGTCTTCAACCTCGTTGAACATAATGACATCTTGATAAGTCCTAAATCAGACCCAATTTTAGGCACAGTAAACCTTTGTGTTAGAGACGTTGCATGCCTAGAAGCAGGCAGCTAGGCGAAGATCCTTAGCAAAGGCTGCCCTTTACTTCTTATTTATGTCTAGGATAGCAGCGCTGCTGCTATGATAACATATTAGTCTGACGTTTTAGATAGGTAAACCTACAACCTAATTAATGTATGCTTATAAACCGAATATGTTTGACTTGAATATTCGCGGAACTGCTTAGAGAGAGCAAGAGTTAGTATTAGCCAAGAACTAAATGTGACCTTGGTTAGAGCCTTCTCTTTTTCGACACCCTTGGCTGCTTGGACTGTCCTGCTTATACTTGCGATAGACATTAGTATGCCCTGTACATGCTCCCCAAACTGCGGCGAGAAGCCAGCAAACGTGGCTGCAGGAGGGTGAAGTAGGAGAAGTCTTTGGTAAATCTGCGGCGCCCCAAGAGGGGGGATCGGGTTAGCAAGTCCCCCAGTAACTCGGGGAGGTTAATTTTAAACGCCTTAACATCCAAGCCAAGACATCCCTACATCTAGAGATGTAGCCGTAGCCTGTCTAGCCGTGCAGGCCCTCTCGCGGCGTTGGCTAGGTGGGTTTTTCCTGGCGACGCCCTCGTTGGCAAGGAGTCGACTGCCTAGCTAAGGTCCCACCCGCGACTGCTGGAGAGAGTGTAGGACCTGCTGTTGCCGCTGCAGGACAAGGCAAAGGAAAGTACTTCCCTTTTCCCAACAAGAGGCAGTGTAGGAGGTATAAATCTGACAGAGATCCTCCGACTTGCCTGACTGGTCGTCTGTCGCGGAGGCCTTGTCATGTTTCACGTTGGCAACAGATAATGGGACAATGCTGGCGGTGGAGCTGTTTGTCTCATTGGTAGTCGATATCGCGGTAGCAGAATTACTTGCCGCTGTCAAGAGGGGTCTGGTAGATTGCCATAACCCCAAACGCAGTGGACTTGCATTAGGTCTATGTGTACATGTTGCTAGCTAGGAGCTAAGGAGTAGATGTGACTAGACGACTAATTGAACCACCTTGAACTTGACACACAAATACCTCTGCAAGATCATCATCTTCGCACCTTGCTACTCCTAGGCAAGCAATCGTCTGCCAGTAACTGCCAAGCCATGCCAACAACTAGACAATCCCTTCGATGCGCGATGGAGCCTAAGTGCTCTAAGTCGCGGCATCATCTACATAGTTTACACGTCGCCTATGTTAACTTGACAGTTGGATCTTGAAACAAGGCTGGGGCAATAATAACAAGGTCGTCATCTGGAACAAGCGTGTACGGCAACACGAGAGAGGCTAACATCTCTACCAGAAAGCAAAAAGAGCCATAGATCGCCCTTCGGTCATACAACAGCCTAGGCCCTTAACACCAACGAGATCTATCAAAGCCCTTTCGTGACAAAGGCTTCATGTAGCTAGGACCTGCGCGCGTTCGTCGCTGAGTGTCCATAGCGCCGAGCACGCCGGTTAGCGGCACGCTGCGCTAAATTTTGCGAATTGGTAAGCTGGCCCTTTGGGAGCTTACTGAGGAGGGGGAAGCGCGGAACGGAAAAAAATTAGACCTGGCCGAAGGCAAGCCAGGAGCGATTTTAAGTGCCTAATAACTGCTTGATCTGATTTTAATTGACTGCCAGCGCCAGGACTGAATTGACTGCTAGCGCAGGGCCTGGCGCTGGGACTGAATTGACTGCTGGCGCAGGGCCTGGCGCTAGGCTTGAATTGACTGCTGACGCAGGGCAGGGCCTGGATTGACGTAAGGCTTAATTGACTTTAATTGAACTGACTACCCAGGGCCTAAACTGACTGCCAGTGCTAGGCCTGAACTGACTGCTAGCGCTAGGCCTAAATTGACTTCAATTAACTGCTAGCGCTAGGCATGACGCAGGGCCTAAATTAGCTGCTAGCAAAGGCTTAATTGACTTCAATTAAACTGCCTATAAAGCTGTGAAAAGTAGGTAGAATGAGGAGATTCTGTAGATAGAATGGATAGCCTTGCATATTTTGTGGCAGGTGGCAGCAATTTCAAAGCGAAGCAAAGGAGCGTCAACCAGTTGCGCTTTATTATACAACTGCTAAACGACTGTCAACTTTATTAGAAGATAAGGTTGCAGGGATTACGCCGTATAGAGTCTTTCCGGCTAGGATAACAGGCTTTGCTCTTCCCAAAATCATTGCCCTCCCCTTGCTCTTCCCAAAATCATTGCCCTCCCCTTGCTCTTCCCAAAATCATTGCCCCGCCATTGGTCTTCCCAAAATCATTGCCCCGCCATTGGTCTTCCCAAAATCATTGCCCCGCCATTGCCCTTCCCAAATAAATTCATTGCCCCCCCTTTGCAATTCCTAAAATCATTCCCCCCCCTTCGCAATTCCTAAAATCATCGCCCCCAAGTCGTTTCAATTTCTCAATTCAATCCCACCCCTAGCCATTTCAAATAATCAATGGACTCAAGCGAACTAACTCGCGCAGAAGAAGCTCTACAAGTCGCTCGCGCAAATAAGAAGGCAATGGCAGCATTTGAGAAGGCGAAGAAGCAGATAAGGAATAGCAACGGTTCTGCAGGCATCATTGTTCTCACCGCCAAAGATCGATACTCCAACCCAGGAAGCACCCTACACAAGAGCAAGGCCTTGCTAGCTATTTCAGTCGAAATTGCCTAGACATTTACTAAACCTCAATGGGAAGCTATTGAAAAATGCCAAGATATTGCAGCATCAGTTATCGAATAGGTCCAGCAACAGCTTAACTCAGCCAAGGGACACCCAGACTACCTAGGGCCTTACTTGATGGTTCTCAAGAAAAGCCAACCAGATTTGGCTGCCAAGATTTGTTTAGGTAAGCTAGTCTTAAATACTAAAAGGCATGTTACTAATCCATAGCAGAGGTAGCTTGCTTTCTATTTGACAGTGCTGTATGGAAACATAACGCTACAGAGACTGACAAACCCCCCAGCACAGTCAACACTCAACTCTCAGCCCCATCACATGAGGCAACTATCCAGCCTTTCGACAGCCCTGATACGCCCCAGTCTTTTCCACGTCTGAATCCCAACCTATCTTAGGCCTACAAGGAGACAAAGGCAAAATTGCAGCAAGCCACACTGCCTCTTCTAGGTACAGCATCTTCATCCCTTTTTTGCAAGTAGCTTGCTAATAACAGTACAGAAAGCATTGTCCAACTGTAGAGATCAGACTTAAACTGCCTCCAAGATCATTTGGCCCAACTTAGACTTCAAACCACCACAAGCAAGAGAAAGCAGCCTCAGGCTGACACACCCGACCCAAAGAAGCGTAAACAAGAGCTTGCCACAGTATATGCATCCGCCTCCTTCCAATCGACGCCAACCGATACCCATCTACAAGTCTCTAGGAAAGAGCCAGCTGGTTGGCAAACAACGTCTCATCCACCAGGATTCTCCACCAGTTTTGTTCCAAACCATCTCCGACTCGCTCCCATTGCTTACAATAAGCCTGTCGCTGCTCATGCGCCGCCAACCACATCGCACCCCCGAGGAGCCCTCCCAACCCTAGCAGGCAGCCGCAGCCTCGACACCTTCCAGCCGACGCACTCTGCAGGCAGCTATGCAGCCAACAAGCGCCATAACCTCACGCATCAACCATTGCCTCCTCCATTTCCCAGCAGGTCGCTTCCAGTCTCTCAGGACCAGCCTGTTCCAAACGCTACGCTAATGCCATATTGCTAGCCTAGGAACGCTGCATCTGTCAGGGCCAGATCGCACCTCGAAAGGACAGTCCAAACCTACGCGCAGCCCCCTGCCCAAGGAGCAGATCTCTAATTGCAGATATTTACACCTACCCCATCCTCGCATGGCAAATCCAAGCCCTCCATGGTCCTACAATTGCCAGTCTATAATATCAAGAAAGTGTTTGAACAGGTTGATTTGATTCTGGATTTGGCAAGATCAGTGGTTACCAGAGAACCCAGAGGAGACTACGTCTCTGGGAACCTAAGGCTACAAATCTTTCGTAACAGCGCAAACCTTGTAATCGACCTCGGCAAAGCCAACCAAGAAAATTGTAATGAGGCAGCTTAGAGAGTGTAGGAAATCCTCTCCGAAAGGTTCGGCGGCAGCAGATTTGTTGTCAAGGTGCACCAAGTACGCCAAATCGAAATCAAAGCAGTCAAAGCCGCCAAGGGCGCCTTTGTACATAATTTGATCTTTGGTTCTAACAGTCCTCAAACCTAGCTTTCCATATTCTTGCCCTGCGTTAATCTCGACATCGTCTATTTTACATAAGGCCTCCCAAGCAATCTCATCCCCATCAATCATCATTATACGAGTAAATGGGTTGCCTAGCTTCCATGACAACTTCATCGGCTTCGATAAGGTGACGGAAAAGTAGGGGAGGGGCTTGTATTCACTAGCAAGTGCTTTGTCAAGTTTGCGACATTTTTCTGTTTGGTAGTGAGAGATCGAAAGATTCTCCTACCCCGCCCTCGTAGCCACACGTCATTGCTGTTGGTGCCTGAATGGATTCGCCGTTTGCCCAACGCAGAGTCAGATTAACGCTGGCGCCGTCAAGGGCAGGCTAGGTCTCAGGGCTTCTGCGCCACAGTAGTCGAGAATTGTCACGTGCATAGGGCTCTAGCCATTGAAAATCAAGCTACTCTGTTTTTAGTTTAGCGCCAAAATAGCAATATCTAGCAGTTTTTCAAAATATAGTATAGCTTTGGTATATAGCTTAAAGTTTTTATTTACTTTTTTTTAAAAAGAGAAAATAAATAATGTTAATAATTAGCATAATTACAAAGATTAATTAAAATAGTAATAATGTTAGATAAAGATAAATTTCTACATATTATATCTTAACTAAAGACTTTGTTTTATATAGTTAAATATTAAAGTTTATAGCATAACTTACTAAATTTATAGCATAACTTATTAGCAACTTGTATTAAGTTTAAAGTTAAGTTTAAGCTTACACATACTATAATAAATATTAGCATTGAGATTGTTTTAAAGTTATTAAAGTATAAATAATAGCAAGTATTGCTAAATTAAATATCTTTACTAGATATTGCTTAAACTTTATCTAACACAAATTAAATAAATCAAATAAATAAAGTAAAAAGTTATTACATAACTTAGCTACTTTATAGCCTTATGAATAAGTTATATCAAGTTATTCTTACTATATATTTTTTACTAAAACGCTTTAATTTGCTTTTACAAAAGCATAAATACAGCTAAAAAACAAGAAAAACAATATAAGGTAAAGACAAAGTTGTCATTATACTGCAAAGTGTATAATGCTAACGCTATTATCTGCTTTTTAGCTATAGCTTCCTACGTTTTAAACTCTGCAAACTAACTCTAGTATTAGTTTTAGCATGCTTTGTCAAAGCTACTTCCTTTCACTGCCAACCTTAGCTCTCTACTGCTATAGCTATAGCTAGCAGGTTTTAATGTTAATGCTAGTAGCAATAGTAGGCTAACTATCTACTATTAGCATTACTGCTGCGTTAGCAGTTTACTAGAATGTCTTTTTATTAGAATAGGTGTCTAAGATTTACAGTAGTACTAGAAGTCGCTGTAAATACAGCGCTTTAAAGTGCTATAATATAGCAGCTGCAACCTAAGTTACAGTAGAAGTTTATATGCAGCAGCCTAAGCTTTTATGCTAGACAATACACTTATAGCTTTGTGTATAGGCTAGGTATGCTATAGTATAGCATATAGTATAATGTAATATAGTAGATTGCTAGTAGCTAATACATTATACTAACTTTGTAAAGATAGTTTAATTTCCTTTCCTTTATAACCTACCAACCTTGGTTTAGTAAAGTATACGTGCTACCTAACTGCAAAGCCAGAACTAAAACCTAACAAATTCTACAGTATGTAAAAAATTAAAAATACCTTTACGCCTATATAACCTATCTCTTAGCTTGCATAGCCTAAGTTAACTTATATAAACTGTAAAATTTAATCCTAGAATATTACTAAGGCTGAACTTTAAAGTATAAGTCCTAAGTTTAACGCTTTTTAGCTAGGGTATACTGCTGCTTTAGCTACCTGCCTAGCGCGGCAAAGGAGATTGCGCGCCTTAGGGATAACCTTGTCAAGCTAGTAGAAGAAACAACATCTTTCCTAGCAAATATGTTGAGAAAAAAGGCTAGAAGGCACAACTAACTAGTTTTCTCCTAGATAGAGGCATATATAGACTAGCACTTGCAAAGAGCAACAAGCTGTGCAAGTATAGCTTTTACAGCGTTAGCTATACCCTATTACTAGGTTTGTATCTTAGTAAAAAGAAATGACGTTTACAGTTGTTCCAAGCTGTAAGAATCCTGAGATACCATAGTGTAGGTGGCGCACTATTGCGGCAGGACTTATAAGGCGCGGAGCGCGAAGGTTTCGGCACGTGGTGCCGAAGCTGCTAAATCTTTTGGTTCATTGTAACTCAGTCGATTCGCGCGCTAGTTCTTACTATAACAAATAGCGCGCAGTAAACTACTTGACCAACAAACCGTAAAAGATTATGCCAATCTGCCTAGTGGCAGATTGCTACGCATCTATTCGCTTATATAACCACACGCGCCGCACCGCCTCAATGCCCACACCGCGTTACACTTACACAAGCACTAAACAAGTGTCAATTACCTTGTAATAGGATCATGTCAAATAAAAGAGGCGCATACTTAAGGCAGACTAGATAAGCGTAATTAGCTTAATTAGCTGCTGCTGCTACTTAGGTAGCAAAGAAGAAGGGGAGAAGGAGACAATAACAAGGAGAAGGAGGAAGGAAGACTAGAAGGACGAGGAGAAGAACAAGGAGGAGGAGGAGGAGGTTAAGGAATAGTGTTAGTAAAGGTACATCTCCCTTGCCTCCTTCTTATTGTCAACCAAGTTTAACTATTCACAAAGATGCTGCCTTATAAACGCTATACTCAAGACTAGCAAACCAGCCCTAACGCAGTCTAGCCACCAAGCCTACAACAGCAAAGGATAAACGCTTACATTTTAAGTTATGATTAAATGTAAAGACATAGTGACTAACAATTAGCAGTCCTTAACCTTGGCAAGATCGTCAAGAGGGCTGTAGAGAAGGAGAACATGCTAGCTTAGCAGTTCAACACTGTTGGAGCTTTGAATGCTACCATTGGCGTAATCCTCTTGATATGTGCTATCGAAGATACAATAACTGGTTGCGACTTGATAAGTGCATGAGGAAGCATGTCTTCATCGAAAATGATTGCTAGACACTGAAAGAAGGTGACTCAACCTTGCAGTGCAAAAGAAAGAAGGAAGAAAGCAGACATGGTTGATGAAAGCGAGAGTGTCCTCCCGTAATTAAGTAATTAATGGGTAGGATTAAAGAGAGGAAGACCGAAGAGACGTGCTCCTTTCCAGCCTGCCAGCAATCGGCCTTGGGGGCAGCGGAGACGGCGTCCCGGCTGTTAGGCCGTGTGCGGGCGCTGGACCTCGAGAGAAGGGGGAGAGGTCTCGTACTCGTGTGTCGTGTTTCTAGCCCAAGCAAGCAACGAACCAACCTCCTGTGGAGATTTAATTACAATACTCTGAATCCTTCATGGCCACAGTTTCCAAAGCACCAAACTAGAGCAATCCTCTGAAATGTGCTGCCGTCCCACTTGACGTTGGTGACGGGCTTGCTGATGGGCAACAGCTGCCTGCTTAGGTACGTGACAAACAAGCCGCCGCCGTCGTCACCGACCTACTTCGCCACGGCCTCGACGCTCGCCAGGTTGGCGCTGAACGTCAAGAACTAGTCCTGCGAGACGACGTCGGCGCCGCCGTTGCGCTACGGACGTTGAGCGGGGACCTCATCCTGGAGTACGGGAACGCATAGAGGCCAGAGAGCGACCCGGTGAGGGACTTTGGGCGATCCCAGGAGGCGGCGGTGGCGCTGCTTATGGCGACGGTACTGCCTGGGGCTCAATTATATAACTTCTCCTTCGTGCACACGCTTATGACCAGCCACGCCTTCAGGGTCCTACTGCCTTTTATCCATGCCCAATTCTACGTCGGCGTGTTCCACCAATGGTGGTTGCTTGTGCTGGCCGTGTACATCGCCGAGCTGCGGCCGCGGGTCGACTCGGACTTCGTCTCCGGGGACCTCGGCGGGAAGGGCTGGGCGTACGTCAAGGGATAGGGCGCTCAGTTTGCCGTGGGCAGTGGTTGGGCTTTGACAAGCAATTGCGCGTTTGGGGCTTCGGACAAGGGGGGGATATTTGGCTCCTGCAAGTCCCTAGGTCGTACGAGGAAGTGTAGAGGGACAAGTCAAGTTCCTCTATATCCTGGCGACGGAAGAGAGTCGCTAGGTTAAGAAGATTCCCATATAGGATAGAGATTGTACTTCTTTACCTTCTCCTCGTTGAAGTTGTCTTTCTGCTTTTGAACCCTGGCGGCATTGCTGTGCTATTCGGCATGTTGCCTAATTTCTGGAGCGACTTGATCTGGTGCTTGTAATGCAACTGCACCTGCCGCCGGCTGCCCTATAATGAAGTTTTCGGCAACGATGGCGGCGTCCTGGCCTGGGTGGGCTAGTCTGACGGGGATGGCGTTGGCGAGGAAGCCTCGACAGCAGCAAGAGGGTTGTGGTTGCGTTATTTAAGGGCATGATTACGGTTGTCTAGGGCGACCCCTGGCATTAGGAGAAGGGGTTGGGAGAGGGCGCTGCAAGACTGGGGTTGGCAACGCGGCTGCTTGAGAGTTGAAGGGCCTTTTCTAACAGCAGTCTACCAACCCATCGATCTGTAGATTATTAGCTAGCATGATTATCACCACTTGCTGCACTACTATTCCTTCTACTACAGCCTCCATATCCACAACCCTAACGAAGACATATTCGAGGCCTCTCTCAACGAGACAAGCGATGTCGACCTATGTCTGCTCTCTGTTGTCAAGGTTATGGAAGGGACTTACTATGCATAGACAAACGAAGAAAGAAGGAAAAGCCCCCCAACAGACAGCCAAGTAAAACCCATGTTACCGCGCAAAACCTAATCCAAGTGCCAGAATATGGACCGGCTTTCCTTTTGCTATGGGCGGCACGAGTGCCTCTTGGAAATGGAACTTCTATGAACCACTTCTTGTCCGTGAGTATGGACTTAAAGTCTCAGATATGGGTGCCAAAGGTGGTGACACCAACCCGTCTCTCTTGCCCTTTTGGGAATCTAAGGGACAAAAGTGAAGAGAGAAAGATGCAACCTGCTTGGTTAACCACAAGTAGACAATTAGAATTCGAAGCACTCACAAGATAGGTCTGAGGTTTCCGCCTGCTTAGGCGGGCCTAGTCTCTCGCTAGGTTTAAGGGGTTTGTCAATATTAAGCATTAGCTCTTCTGACATTACTAGCCACGACATATTAAGAATGTCATCTTCACTGACTCCAGCTTCTGGAAAGCAGCCAAACGCTGGTTGGCAAGCGTCTAGGGCTGAAGCAGATGAATAGTCTGTTGGCTGAACCTAGGAAAATTGAAGCACATGTGAGAGGATAATAATCGAACTGTTGCTATGAACTCCATGGAGGACTATTCCAAGGGCGGCTAAGAGTCGATTAGACAGCGATGGTGACGTTCCTCCTCGTCTCAGCATCCTACTAAAATGCCTTTATGTTAAGGTGATAAACCTGCTGGAATTGATAGAGTCGATGGCTGATGAGAACAGAGCTTCGAACTTACTAGCGTCGGTGTGGGCTCCCTCCTATCGTGCAATTACGCTGTGCACACCTACAGATTCTTGTCTCTGAACACGAGTCTTCTGTCAGATAATATACCAACTACGTGGTAGGTGGCTTTAACGACGGCGCGGGCGAGTTGAATTGGTTTGATCGCAGCTGGGGACTCGCCACCCTCGTTCTTGTAGGAGATGGCGTCTGTAGACAGGACTATAAACCCATATCGGAAACGGCCAAAATAGCTGCTCCATGTGCGGAGGAGAAGAAGTCTCAGGTAGTGGCAAGGCAAGTGCCCAACGATGTTACGCGGTCTAGACAGCCGGTGCGGAGGGTCAGAGGTGTCGGCTGATTTCATGTGCAGTGGTGTCGAGTAGCAATATCCGTGCCCCTGTTAGCCCCGGGCGCGGAAGCCGGACTAGCTCTCGGCAATCCGGAGCAGCGCCGGCACACCGAAACCGTAGCCCTTGCTAGCCCTGAAAAGACAGCCGTGTGTTTCGCCCGTGCCATCTCGGAGGATTCAATGGACTCTGAAATGATTTCCTTCCAACGAAGCGACTGATACGGAGAAGGATGGGAAGCATGGGAAGGATAAGGATTCAGAGAAGGATCCCGAACATAAAACATCAATACTTTGCCAACTCTCTTCTTCTGCCATAGAACCTATGTAGTATCAGTAGTAGGCCAAACCCTTGGAGTGGTTATAGAAATGTCCGTCTCCCTGAGTTCGATGTGGACGCTTAGAAGCGCGAGGCAGTCCCAACTCTTGGTAAGAATCGGAAATTTGTGACCTAGAGCCGCAGGCGCCATCATAGTCAAGGAAGAAGTAATAGAAGACGAAGATGTTATGATGGGTCAGGGGCTTGCTCTCGCACACGACGTCTGGCAATCTCTTGCTGCTTCTATCCTCATGGGTTCCATCCTCATGGGTTTATATGCTGAGCTAGTTCACATCGACAAGCATACAAGTCTTACTACTTGTACTTCCCATGCATGTTCTCCATTCCCTGACGATGAAGAAGGGGCGGAAAGATTAGTCTGATAAGATCCGTCGATTCGGTGTCTGTCGTCACATAACCCTCCCTATGATCAAGTTGCGTCTATCACCTTGAGGATATTGTCCAACACATCTGCCTTCGCCTCCTCAGCCGATCAACTCACGTCAACCCTTGCAACGTCAGTCTCGTGCAGAGCTAGCGGCTCGAGGATGTCGAGTTAGCTGTGCACCATGTTAGCGCCTATGTAATGGTTTTGACTGGTCGAATTTCTAGTTAGTACGCTGTCTGGGTGGGAGTGTGTCGCAATCCTGATTTCCGGTAGTGCAGATGTGGCGATAGCTGACAAGGGCAAGGACCTAGACATGGGGTGAACCAACCAATCGAGTGCCGATGAGGAGGGCGAGGATGTCGCGGGTTGCGGCTACAAGCGCAAGGCAAGCAGTACGCCTGGCGGTCGGAAGAAGAGGGCCCTCATCGCCGCCAGGGACCGTGGCCGCCGAGATTGCCTTCGCAGCTACTACATTACGCGCCGCCGTCGCCGCCAGACGAACCCAGCAAGCAGTAGAAGCAGCAGCAACGGCAGTAACAGCTGCCAGCCAGGGATAATACCGACGACTTTCCCACGGCCACTTAAACAGCCTTGGCACATCTACATCCTCATCGGCTGATTTAGTTAGATACAAGCTCCCAGAAATGGTATACCCTCGCTGCCAAATCCTTCCTGTTCTTCCAATTGCCAAATCTTTCAACGCTCTACATTTATCCGTTTATTTCCAACTAATTAGTCTTCCTTCTTGCATTTACTATGCATAGCGCCACGCTTAGCCATTTTCATTCTCATGTTTTCACCATTTCTCGTATACGTTGAACACCAGTGCCTCGACTTCTTAGTTGAGACACTCATAGGTTTAGAAACGAGCTCCGGAATCCTCCGCCTCCTATCACCCATCACACTGATAAAGACAACGACAACAACAATCCTCCTCTACACAACCCACCACACCTTCAGCATGCTTCATTAGATTTCAGTGGCGTTTAGGGTGAATTCGGTTAAGCCGAATATACCAACCTAACCTCGTAACAGGAGATGCTATTCTAGGCCGTCGATTTTAAGCCGTTGAATACGCCGCTTTCTCTGTCTGCTGTGTTTAACAGACCCGGCTCTCCTATCTCACGGCTAGGGAGCCGCTAGAGCTATCGGGCTCCAATCCGTACCTGCAGGAACGGATAGTCTATCAACTAAGATCAATGTCCCCTAATTAGTCTATACACCACACCTAGCCGCACAGTCCTCTAGACAAAAGTTTCACTGGACAATGACCTGCAGCGCTGGAGTGGCGTTGTCGGCCTCCGCTTCGAGTCGAGTCCCATGGCAAGGCAGTGCCGGAAAAGCGACGGTGTAAGACGAGTTCACCGCCTGGTACCGAGACTACATGAGCGCTCTTTTCTGGCTCACCAAAGAGGGAGACAACAGGGTTTTATCCTGCGTGAACTGCGGTTTCTTGATTTGTCACCTTTGGTGGCAAGATCATCGTCAATGTCAAAGAGAGTGACCTTAGCATACAGTCTGCCAAGATGACGCCCTGCTTTTTCTCATACTTCTGCATCTAGTTTGCAAGTTAGCGACAGGTGGTTGCAGCTCAACAACCTAATTCGTCGCCCTACACGATACTAATTAGTTAACGGTAGTACCAACAGTACCAACAGTACTGCGAGTCAGTCTCTCGGGCTAAGGCGGTTGATCTAGCGGCTAGGGCAGCAAGTCTGGCTTAGGAGTCCAAGCCAGCGTCTAAGGCTAGACCAGTTACCTTTTCTACGTACCTTTTTTGTTTCTAAATCTCTCTCGTCATATCTCGACAAGATCATGGGCATGGCATGCGCAATGCAACTGTTAGAGTACCGGTAGATTCGTAATGGTAATGAGAGGTGAATCTAATAGTGCTGAACTCTCTGCGACTGCTGGAAGATACTAGTCTAGCTCCACGCAACCTTGGTCAAGTTGAGCTCCCCTGACAAGTTCAAGCAGACCTTTTCTTTCAGAGACAAGTCGTCGCCTGCAAACGCTTTCTTCAAGCTTAGGTAACTTTATATGCGCCTTTGTAATCGCAATTGTTAGGCAGGGATTAACTAGGCATATGTTAGCTAGCCTTGCAGGTTGATAATCTTGCCATACTCCTTCTATATGATATTCTTGAAAGTCTATGGTACAAGATGTCCCAACAAGTCTATCAAGAAAATCCTCTTCTTGTCCACCCACTGCGGAAAAGGGCCAATATCAGCCATGGCATCGTTAAGTCATCTGTCTAACATTTCTCAAAGGAGTGTCATTTTCACCTAGAAGCTGCAAATCCCCAAGGACAACAAGTTGAGTTTCATCAGCTATAAGCGCAATATTTCCCACCTAGGTGATAACAGCATCTTTGCAGCAGGTAAGGTAGAGAACCATTATCGGTGTTAGCATGGCTCAAGCCAACTAAAAAGGCCAAGATATTCGCTTACACTTTGAATTTCTTCTAAGGCTCTTGCTAGGGTTAGAATCTGCAACACCAGTATCCTTAACATTAGCAAAGTACAACCTACCATAGAAGCAATGTAGGAAAAGGCCAGTCAAGGAACTACACAGTCTAGCCGAGGATAAACATAAAGCAGAAGAAGACTGCCTCCGGATCCGAGAACACCTCGCCGTCACAATGGAAGCACGGGGAATACGCGCCGCCCTAGACGCAGACGGCAGACAGCCCCACGGGCTGACCCTAGACTCCCGACGGCGGCGGGTCGTCTCCGCGGGGGCAACACGCGGGTCTATGCCGGGGGCGTTGTTGCGGAGGCAGAGGCTCTCCTTGATGACGGCGTTTAGGAGGGTGAGGTGCTCTAGGGCTGTAGGTAGGGGCAGTGAGGGAGTGGTGGCCGAGGAGTGTGAGTAGTTCCCTGGGTTCCCCGCTACACCCCCAATTTTGGCCCGTGGTTTAGATAGACAAGTTTCTGAAGGATCACCAAGTCAATAAACCCTTTATTTAACGAGGAAACCAAGGCTGCCAACCTTTTGCTGACGATGTGACGTGGATGATGGCACCGCTGGTATCTGAGGGACCGCTCTGTGAGTGCCGTGCCACTGATACCTAGTAAAGACTTGATGCCTGATACTTGTTCCGCAGATGTAAGTGGCGAGCAGATTCGGCGAAATCTGACCGAGAATGAAAGGGGTATTCCGTTGAATCTGGATTTCCAGGCCAGTCACATCCCCTTCTCTTAGGCTCTCCGCGGCGGGAAGAAACCCTTGGGTCGCGACATGTGCACTTTCTGGTATCTAAATTCGTCATCCCAGAAAGCAGCATTCATAGCACTATATCTGCTTCTTGCCATTACTGCTTTTGTTTGAGACTGTTGCTACTGGCCCCGGTACATCCTCCGCTAAACCTCCGCTTGGCCCGGTTCCGTGGTCTGGTTCGCTAGAGCCACGTGGCTACCTAGCCAGTGTCCGACTCCTGCGTTGCAAAATGGTCGCCGACTGCGAGGAGGAGCTCATGAAGAACTAAGTAAGGCGGACTTTCCGGTTTCTTGGGCGGCGGCGTAGTCAATTTCTACATCTTTCCCATAGTATTCGCCTTCTTCAACCTCTTCGATAAAACTAACATAGTCTTCCGACAGTAATGTCCTAGGCAGGTAAGTTAGGAAAATGCATAGGAGGGCGTCTTTCCGGAGGATAGTGCTACGTTAGGCTGCTAGATAAGGCAAGCTGCCGCACTATGCTTCTGCAACCCGATGACTAGGCCAGGCTCACCGTCAAGGCACAAGAGAGCAACCTAGCATCTATGCTCTAGCTTTATCGCTAGATGCTGCAGATCAGACAAGCGGAGCCATCGCTTGGCGACGGCCCAGGGCTGTGGCGTGCCTGCCTTCTTGCAAGGCGGCGGTCCAAATGACGTGGATAACGTGGAGGTCTCCTATGATGGCATTGCCAGATCTCAATACGCCCGTCAGATCGGGAGCCGCAAGTCTGCCCAAGGAGCCACTCTCCAACACTTCCCAGCCGCCCACAAGCCCCTTCTTTTCCTCCTAGCCTCCTCCTCGACAGCCCCTTACCGCCTCTCGCTAGCCGGGCCGCTGAACTCGGCGCCTGTCTTGGCCTCGTACGTCGTCGCCAGCCCACATCGCAACATATCCAGCCCAACGTCGCGCTGCGGCACAAACAGCGGCAGCCCCCGCACCAAGTCCGCCGCCATGGCTGCTCTGTAGACACGAGAGGCGGTGGTTTTTATTATCCCTTGTTTTATTCTTCTTCTTCAGTCTGTCGCCTAGACGTGGTGGGTGGCTGGTTGCGCTTGACCGCGGCCCGAGGGTGCGGGACGGCAGGAAAGCTAGCGAAGAGGGTAGCAATCGTAACGAGGACCGAGGCAAGGGGCGACTTAGAGCGCTGGCCATGGTTGGTGTTGGTGCGGAAGGGACAGCCCTGCTCTAGGCAGGCGTGCCTCTTCTCACTCCCAAGGAGGGGCAGCGAAGCAAGTACTTTGCCCAGCTCCTTCGGTTTGCGAGGTCTTTAGAGCAGGCATCGCACTCCTAACCAAGGCCGCTAAAGTTGAGGCCACCCATCTGCATCTGCGCGTCCGTGCCGCCGCCGCCGCTTGCCGGGCCCGGGGCCGGCTTCCGCGGCGCTTCCTCCTCCGCCTACCCCCAGGCTCTGGAGGAGGTCCATCCACTGGAGGTCGCAGAGGCTCACAGTCCGGAGATGAGGATGCTGGCGGAGGACTGTTGCTGCTGCTGCGCCAAAAAGGGGTGATTGCGGTGTCAGGGGACATTCCCATTACGATTTAAATCAGAATGGGCGTCAAAGACGGAAAGCAGACTGCCCACAAAATTGCCCAACGAATGGCGTTTGGTAGCTTAGAGATGCATGACACGATTGGGGCCGCGGGATGCGCCGCAGTCAAATGCATGGCCGGATCCGCCTGCAGAAACACACCAAGGTCGCTGACTAGGGCTATATCGCCGGGTGTGCGGTACTAATCAAATCGTACCAGAAGAAACAAGGAATCCTCTACTCAGGAGCCATAGACGTTAGCATCCTAGTTGAGATGGTTGTGGTGAGCTGCAGAGCTGTATGCATTGCATGCCCCCTTCACGAGACCCCAGGCCCGTTCCCCTCGACATCCACTGACACCGTGAAGTGCGACAAGTACCACTTCCTAAAGCTGTCTGCCCACGTGGGATTTCCTCTTGGCTGTGCGGTTGTCACGGCTGTGACGTTGGCGTAGTTAGATGTCTCTCTTGCCAGCGTCTTGGAAATTCTTGGAGAAACTAGCGTCAATGCCGTCAACGAGCACAATTTTACCGCAATGAATCTTGCTGCTTTCAAGGCCGACACTAACGCTAGCCTTTTCATGCTAAGCCGCCGGCGCTTCGAGAGGGTGCTGTTCCGCTTGTCGCTGCCGCTGGACCTGAAAAGGGGTAAAAGGGGGTGGCCCGTGCGCAAATGATTGCGCTTCTTCATGCACTTCCTGCCGTCCGCCTCAGCCCTTTGGTCTCAGCCCTGGTCTCGGTCTGTCAGCATTGTAGCCGCTGTTGCCAAAAAATATCTTACGCAATGAATGTTTGCCTAGCACATCAACCCCTTTTGGCCGTAGATTGGCAGGCTCGGGGATAGGCTAACATTGGTGCGGGAGTTTGACATCGCAAACATAGGCTTAGCTATCAATGAGTTTTCCTAAACCTAGAGGCTAGCTGGCATCAACGAGTACGTTGTGTGCCTGGTCTAGGCGCTGTCAAATCTTGGGGTTTCTTCATTTGACAAAGCAGTCTCCTTCTGGAAGATGACTAGTCCTAAGCAACCCCGTTTCTCCTCGAAAATGTTTCCACCTAAGCTTGCAATCGCCATCATCATTGTTCACCATAAGCACCTCATACCTAGTCATCAAATATAGCCACTTGGAGGCTCACACACATCCGCTCGACTCTGTGCTAGACGAAGAATGGAAATGGCCCTTCTCAAAGTTCGGTTACAAAACCGCCAACGTTCTTTTCACTAACCTTCACTTGGAGTTCAACTGTATCAAAATTACGATTCAAGATCCTTGCACCTGGTATAATAATGTTTGCGGTGTGGCAAGAAGCGCCGAAAACAAGGAAGAGTTCCTAGTCCAGCTCAAACAATGACAAGAAGAACGATTTAACAAGCTCCAAACCTTAGACTTGCTAATTGGCCACCCTTCGCGCTAGGAAGCGCAAAAGCCCTACATCTTATAACAGCCATTTAGGTGTATTTCCGAAAACCTCTCTTTTAACTCTATTGTCAAACACTTTCGCTCCTACGCCGCCAACAAGCACGCCTAATCCCCAAATCCGCTACCGCCCGCGTCTGTCACAGATTGCGTCACTCAAAAGCAGCTGAAGAAGAAAAGACGCCTAGCATCAGAGTCATCACGCAGCCCGCCAGGGATCTCAAAACCGCGCCTTGGACAAGGCAGTAAGCGGGAGAGGGTACCGAGGAGCGCCTGGTTTGAACAACGCGGAGAGCAGTCAGGACTGTAAAGCTCGACATTAGCATAACGGCCACTAGTTTCGGATGCGCAAGCAACGCCTCGTAAATCCCAAAATGACAGATCTCCACGTCAGGCCCCAACTACAATCGCAGCACTCGCCGTGCGCTTCAACAGCGAAGGCGTCAGCGCTACCAAGGCAAGCACCTAGCCGCTCCCATCCAGGTCCGAATCGAATAAAGCGCGTAAGAAGCACAACAGCAGGCCACTGTCGTAGCTGTCGTCTCAGCAACCCTCTCCTAGGACGGGTTTAGGAGGCGGCAATCGCCTGAGATCCGGTAAACACGGGTCCCAGCATGATCTGGCTGCAGCTCGAGCGGCTACCGAAGCTTGCGCTGGGCAGGAAGGGTGCCCCACCCTTCGGAGTCCAAGGTAGCGACCGGGTCTACCAGCTAGAGCACCAGCTTGTTCGAGGTGCAACCGAGAACAACCTGGCAGAGGTTATTCCCAACGCTTAGAATTCCGCTGGGCGTCAGCCGCGTTCGCCGGATCTCGGGCGGCTGCCTCCTGCCCGACAGCGCCTTAGCCTCTCGGCGATTTTGACATTGCCGAAGCCGGACACCATTTAGACCCGTCGAGAAACACCTGCTGCATAGAGAGCTGCAATACGTTGACTTCTTCTCGGTCCGGGTCCGCCTGACCCCCTAGCGGCAACGGCATTTCTCTAGCGGCGGACTTTTCTTTCTATCGGACTGCACTTGTATGGCATAATCGTTGATGTTTTTGGCAAGCAATTGATGCGAAAAGATGGGAAGAAAAGGAGGCTTGACCGGTCATTTTGCGCCACGATGTACTGCGGCTTGACTGAATGATAGCCTCAGACAGAAGCGGCGGCCAATGAACGACAAGACAAGTTCAAGCCATCTGCATGTACTTAGAAATAAGAGGACAAAGGAGGTACACACCTCTTCACTAGCTGATGGCTCAGTGCAGAAGCTTCAATCGCATGCTTTGGAGTCATAAGCAGGCCTTAGGTCTAGGTGAAGCTCTGTACTTCAAGCTGATGAAGTGGTGATTGTATTTGTGAGGCTCCTTCTCCTGACAGACGAGGGGCAGAATGAGAGCTTCTAGTACCACAAACAGGCTCGAGAATCCCTTGAGAAGTATCGGTCACATTAGTCCCAGATGCGCTTTGGCATGTCGCTCTCATATCGACAGCATCAAAGAATGCCTCTTTAGGAATATCGACATTTCAGATCCCAGACACGACTTTTTACCCCTAACGAGAGCAGATCTTGTCTAACCAGCTGTTTGCCGTCCTAAAGCTTGCAATCAAAGGCAAAGAAAGCACTTAAGAATGGAAAGGCAACATAGGGGCACCGCGGCAAGCAGCTGTGAAGACACTTGTACAATACATTTACCTATGAAGCTCCTGAGATGCACATGGCCAGCTTGGCGCAAGGGTACCTAGGACCGAACGGGAGACCCATAACACCGTCACATTACGCACAATTCCCGCCCACATCACATATGAGTTCACCATCCCCTGACGATTAGAATACCCAAGTCAGGTGCCAACCTAGACACCGTAGACAGGCAGAGGATATCAGGTAAGGAAAGAAAACAGATAGCTATAGCGGTACTTAAACCAAGTCTTATGCATAGCCGCAAAGCTGCTCCTACAACACAACCTCCCCTCGTAGCTAGAACCCGCCGCTCCGCTCCCGGCGGTGTACAGTTCCGGAGTACCCAACACGTTGCAACTACTGAATATTTCCCATTTAACGCCATTTTCTAGGGATAGCTCCGTCACCACGTCCTTCAGCACCTTGCGAGCAGGGCTGTCTTCGAACGAGTTGAATAACATAGCATGCTGGCAGACAATATTTAGGTAGAAGAAGGGGAAATGGAAAATGAGAGAAAAGCCCTTAGCAGCTTATTCGCTGCCGAACAGTACAAGAAGATACAGGAACTTGGAACTGTCCTTACCTGCTGCAGCGCATGTCGCTTACAAGGGATTTCCAAGAAGGGGATGAAGATTAACAAGTTAGGCAAGGAGATTGCAACCATCTATGCTCTCTCTACCTATCGACAGGGCAGGAGGTTAGCCTTCAAGTGTGGGTATTGTCCTAATTAAATCCTAGTCAAAGGCAATGACTCTCTCCATCTTGTTATTGTCATCCATGGTGCCTATAAAGACCTAGACAACGACAGATTCTCCCTATCAGCGACTTAAACCAAGCAGACTGCCGCAGTACCATTGGCGTTTGGCAAAATTTTGTTTATTCGAGAGACAGGCTGCTTTAGCCCAACTACCTTGATATTACAAAGCGAGGAATTTGAAGCTGATAGCGATCATGTCACCGCCGTACATAGCTTGACTTATAGCTTTACGCATGTAGCTTAACCAGAGATGTCGTGGAAATCTGCCAGGTGGCTTTACACTTTGACTCCTGCCTAATATATAGCTCTAACAACAAGAAGAGCTTCGCATTGTTAGCTTTCCATAAAGCTAACTAGAGGACATTTCTATGTCTTATGCTAGCAATGCAAGGTTCATTGTTAGGTAATTAACAAGTAAGTTAGATATTTAGACAGCACAAGGGAAGCAGCAAAGGGAATTACTATCGCTGTCGCTGTCTATTATGTTTATCTCAGGCTTCACGCCCGAGATGGCAACCGGCCGCATCTGTGTCTGGCGGGGGTTGGCTAGGGTGGCGGTGGCGTAGAGGTGTGGGACTGTGCTGGCGGCGTAGACTGACCTTTTGTCCGGGGGATCCTCCCGTGCCACGTATTGGAGCGCGATATACACCTTGCAGGTAGCCTACTTACGTAAGTCTAAGTCTAAACTTACGTCTGTGATCTGTTCTCTATAAAGAAGAGCTGCCAAGGACTGACATGTAGTGAATATGCATGGTTTGTAAGCTTGTGCTGCACGACTTGGCGTTCTGGTCATGAGCAACATTGTTCATGAGCATCGGTTCATGAGCATCGGTTTATGAGCAGTATTTGTTGTGAGCAAATCTGACTATAAACGATGTTGGTCATGAGCAGGGAAGGGGGGATCCGCCTTGGGGTGTCGATTTTTGTGTGTCAATTTTGTGTCAATTTTATGTCAATTTTCCTGCTCTAATTCCAGCCACATCGGCATTTGTCCATCCATGTCAACTAAAATAAAAGTGTCAAGCTAGAAATGCCCCTCCAGAGTCAAAGTCCCTGTCTTCGTCACGAGATACTCGGCAACTGCGACATCCTTGCCAGATTCCTTGCCATACCCAGATTCCTTAATACCTCCGAATGGGTTCTCAGCGCCCGACGAGTTACCTGCAAATGGTAGACATGTTAGTAATGGGCTAAAAGGAGAGAAGAGACGATGTGGTTAATCAAATGCTTACCAGTGTTCATGCCAATCATCCCCGCTTCCAGATTTTCCAGCAACCTCCACGTCCGATCTACATCCTTGGTAAAGAAGTAGCTAGCCAAGCCCATGCTGGTGTCGTTTGCGTATTTGACTACCTCTTCCTCCGTCTCAAACTTGTACAATCCGCAGATGGGGCCGAAAGTCTCCTCGCGAGTCAGGAGCATGTCCTGCGTCATGTCGGCGATGACGGTCGGCTCGAAGAAATAACCTTCAAGGCCGTCCGGTTTCTTACCGCCCACGAGGACCTTGCCGCCGTACTTCTGCGCGTCTTCGACCTGCCTTGTCAACTTGTCAAGCGACTGTGGGGTGGTCACAGGTCCTATTGTCGAGACCTTGTCGGCTCCGTGGCCTAGATTCAATTTCCTCGTGGCGTCCGCGAGCATGTTCGCGAACTTGTCGTACACTCTAGACTGTACATATACTCGATTGGCAGTGACACAGACCTGTCCCGCATGCTTAAACTTCAAGGCCATCAGCTGGCCGAGTGCCTGCTCGAGGTTTGCGTCGTCGAAGATGATGTAGGGACAGTTGCCTCCGAGTTCCAGGGTCACCTTCTTAAGCCCCTCGGCACAGTGCTTGGCGATCAGCTTGCCCACGCGCGAAGAACCTGTGAAGGTCACTTTGCTGACGAGTGGGTGCTTGCAGAGTGACTCGCAAAGCGAAGGAGTGTTGGCCAGGTCTGTGGTTATAACGTTGAAGACACCCGGAGCAAACCCTGCCTTCTCGGCGAGGTACGCAAGCGTCAGAGCCGTGAAGGGCGTTTCCGGCGATGGCTTCACGACCATGGTGCAGCCGGCAGCAAGTGCAGCAGCGACTTTCCGGAGGGACATGGCGATGGGGAAGTTCCAGGGGATGAGGCCCACTGCGACACCGATCGGCTGTTTCACCGTGAAGACTCTCCTGTTCGGGGCAGATGCCACATGGACCGTGCCATTGATCCTTTCTGCCTCTCCGGCAAACCACCAAGTGAAAGACGCGCCGTAGTCGATCTCGCCGTACGCCTCTGCGAGAGGCTTTCCCGTTTCATATGTCAGAATGAGCGCGAGATCGTCTCGGTTCTCTCGGATCAACGAGTCCCATTTCAGCAGCAGCTCGGCACGGGTCCTGGGATTGAGCTTCTTGTATATTTGGAAGGCCTCGTAGGATGACTGCACAACATCGTCGACGTCGGAGGAGGAATTGTTGGCGCAAGTGGCCCAAACGGCTCCAGTGCCAGGATCTATGTGAGACGAGTTAGGATCGAATCTCAAAGTCAATCACACACTCGCGAGCGGAGAATGAAGGACACGCACCAACAACGTCGAAACGAGCGCCGGATTTTGATTCAACCCATTTTCCGTGTACGTAGGACTCTTGACGGAATAGCTCTGGATTCTTCAACTGTCGTAGTGCAAGTGAATGTTAATTAGATGGAAAGACCGCCAAGCGTTGATAGAACGACATGTCACGCTGTTAGCTGGCAGGGAGTATGCTAACCTTGAATGGCAGGTGAGAAACACCATTTGTAACACCGTTACTACCCATGATGTGTGGGTCGAGAGACAGATGAATCGGTTAGAAAGTTAGACTAGTCCTTGTGATAGCTGGAAGGGGAGATTCCTGGCGGTAGGACATCCGAGGTAGGAGGTATGCTGAAAGACTAATCCCCTCCTCGATAATAGCAAAGAGTGACCAGATAATATAACGCTGACAACGTCCAGAACAAGAAAGAGGTGGGGTGGGGAAGCAGGCGGGTTGAGGGGAAGGTGAGGGTGGGGAAGGAAGCGGGTTGAGGGGAGGTGGGGGTGGGGAATGAGTCGAGGGGTGGTGGGGGTTACATGAGCCACGGGTTCCTTTTTTCTGCCGCTACTTTAGAAAGCAGTTATAATACAGTAGATGGGACAGAGATGGGACAGCGATGGGACAGCGATGTGGGAGCAGGTGTAATCTAACTGTGCTCGTTTCAAGCAGCTGTGGTATACTCCTCTTCCATTTTCAATATATTCATAGCCGCTGAAGGTCACTGCTAAGCAACTCGGCATACATGTTAAGCACTGTGCCCATAAGAGGCAGGATTCCCCATATGGTATTTCCGTGAAACAATCTCGCCCAGGTAGTCAGCACACTGGAGCTGAGCGTCCTCGCATCATTCACGGTATGAATATTACACTCCTGTAGCGTCTCCTGGACTACCCTGATTAGCCAGCGTTCTTCTTCGGACAACGGCGGCTCCGGCGAGCCGACAGTCACGGCATCGAGCCACTTGGCGAGCAGCAAGCAACATTCGAACGACGCGATGAAGTGTTGGATGGACCAGAGGAAGACCTGCGTGTGCGCCACGAGATCTATGCCCATCTTGATGGGGATAAGCAGCGCATGGCAGGCATGCAGCGCAGCTCTCGTCGATCGCCTGCCCCGTTTGGCCGGAGGTTCATTGCATATCGTACGCGCTACTATCTGCGGATCTCCGGACCGGAGAGCCGCCGAGTAGGGCCCGAAGTCGATGTCTAGACGGATATATGCCATGCGCAGCAGGGCTGTGCAGTTGAAGGCGAGAGGGCCGTGTGGATCGCGCGGGTTGAGCGAGGCCTCGGGATTGTTCTCCCAACCTTTCTGCCACTTGCGCAGCGCTCTCTCTAGTGTCTTGCTATGCTCCGGCGAAAGGGACCTATCAGAGCCGGGTATCGAACGCGAATACCTTCGAAGCTCGAAGTTGGACTGCATGAGCCCGTTTATTAGAACATAGCTTCCAAAGGTGGAGTAGCAAGGATCGTCCGGCGAGGTTTGGCCTTGCTCCGTATTTTGTGCGCCGCCGTTCTTGTCGTCAAGTAGTGTCCGCATCGCAGCCTGGAAAGAGGGAATATATCCAGGGGCCTCTTGCCTCCGGCTAAGGATCCAGCTAGCCTCAGAGTCGGCACGCCACGATTCTTCTCCCGACGGCAAAGCAAGCTGCAGCTCACTGTGCAGAATTAAGGAGGGTATGTCATATGCTAGACACTGCAGGTTGAAGAAGCAGAAAACCACAAATTTGGTTCTACGCGGGGGGTCATGGGTCAAATCAGCATGGGAGCCACAGCCATCGATTGCGCCTCGCGCCGGAGCCTCACCTTTTCTGGCTCTCGTACTCTATCCACTGCTTCCAGTTCGCAAGTTCCGACTCACGGGGCTCTTCGGGCGTTATATCTCGGACCATCTAGCACATTGTTAGCAGCAGAATCTCCGCCAGGGCGTCTCGCCGCCCATCCCCAAAACCCGGGCCACTTACAGCCGCCAGGCCACTCTGAAAGGACAGTGCTTGTCTCAGCAAGTATTTATCCCCGGCCCACGTTGCGTACATCATCAAGAGCACTAGACCTTGGCAGTGCTCCATCAGTTCCGAAGTGTACTCGGCAGCCCCGAGCCCGCTATCGTCGTCGCCAGCCCTCGCCGCCACTGCCGCCCCTCTGTCTATCTCGGCTGTCAGGATGGCTTTGCCCACGCGCCACAGCTGTAGGGACGTCTCGTGCTCGAAACAGTACCGCGCCCCCATGGCACAAACGGCAAAGAACAGTCCGAAGCTGCACGTCTCGGGACACCACGTTGGCACGTGGATAAAAGGTTGATGTGGGGCGCCCACGTCGAAGTAGCTAGTCGTATACCGGCTAAGAGCATGGTGAGACGGGAGAACAAAGCCGCTGGGGAGGAGGTGGGAGAAGTGTTCCAGTTTATGGACCAGTCGACTGCGAACCACGGAGGTGACCTGAGTCGAAGGCTGTTGTAGAGCCGTCGGGCCCGAAGGCGCGGATGGTCGGCCCGGCTCGGGAGATGAACGGCGCGAGAAGACGCGGTCTAAAAGTGAGAGGGGGGCCTCCGAGCCGTGCGCGCCCAAATCCCTCTTCTTGCGGCTACCTGGAGTCGGGAGGGTTTTGTCCAGCTTCTCGACGACGGGCTTGGGACTCTCTGGTGGTCGGATCAGAGACTCGGGACTCCACGCCGTCGAGGGCCAAAGAGGCAGCGCCGTGTGGAAGACGGAGGAGTACGTCGCCGTGGAAAAGTCGAAGTTGTCGATCCAATCGGGCTCCGGGAAGTGCTCTTCCAACCCCGGTTCCATAGAAGCAACGTGGTGGTTCAAGTTTGCGAGAGAAAGTGAGCCCTCGTGTCCGGCCATAGTATGGGTCTGGGTCTGGTCCATGACGGAATCGATGGTGAGCACGTCGGTCATGAATCCACCGTTCTGGAGCAGGTCGTGCACTTCGAGACCTTGCATATCGGCCACTTCGAGGGCGGCATGGTCCTGAGCTTCTGCGCTAGTCAAGCGGACTGGATTGGTTCCTTGAAAGTGCGACGCTGGAACCGGGGTTGGGTTGCGTTCGACCTCCTCGGCAGAGCCGGCGGAGGTTGTAACGCTCCCCCAACGTTGATCTCTGTCTGGTTCATGCGGTTGCCAATGGTGCCATTTGTCTCTCACTGGCGACGGTGCTCTACCTGTCGAGGCAGTGGCAACATTGCCGCGCGTCGTGGCAATGCCGTGCAGCGCTTTATTGTGTCGCACAAGAAGGTCCCTCCCCGATAGTTAGCCGCCGAACAAAGGCGAGGGGATCCCCGGGAGAGTGAGTGATCAGCGGCTTACTTCCTGGCAAACGCCTTGGAACAGTGAGAGCATCGGAAAGGCGTCTCTTTGGTGTCTGCAACGATGCCCCGTTCAGAAATTGACAGTCTCGACGATCGTCAAAGCGCCAGACTCTACTCACGTGACCGCTCATGTCGCTGACGGTGCTCGTAGCGCATGAAAGTCTTCTCGCAGAACTGACACTGGTGTCTTCTGGTCTTCTTCCCCGGTGGGGTGGAGGCGGCGGGGGAAGTTACGGGGTCGGCAGTGTCCATTGGCTAGAGTTCCTGATCGTGGTTCGTCGTGGTACGTCGTGGTGGTGGTGGTGGTGGTGGGGAGGAGGGGAGGAGGGGAGAGTCCTAAGTTCTGGCATCTAACGTGGAGTTTGTTGCGAAAAGGGAGGTGGGGAGCGCGGGGTACATATGTAGAAATATTTGAGACATCAATGGGTGGGGTACGGATGTACAGAGCCGCTTACTCGGGTTTCCCCGCTTTGCCACCCCCGCACTACGCACTAAGGTATTCTTTACGAACTCCGCTAGGCGGACGGCACTTTTTCGCTAGGTGGGTTTGTGCATTGATTACCTGCTTGTCGCTAACCATGCTTACTCTGCAAGCTATTTGAATGTTGAGCGTTAGGCAAAGCTTGTGGCCTAAAGCTGTTATGAAGCTTGGGTTATGCAGGTGAAATGAGGCTCTTCCCAAGAACCTAGGGACGCTGCTTTTAAAGTATCTAGCCTTGAAGAAGTACCTGGTAGATGAGGCTTTAAAGACGCATGATAAAGGATTAGCAGCCTATGTGATGTTTTTGACGTTTCTTAATTCTCGCCGCTTTTTGATGGACATACGCTGCCTCTACCTAACTCTGGCACCTACTAATAATGGTGTTAGGCAGGATTCCTGCCGCTGCTCAACGTGGAATTAACTCTGTCTGTCACAAGGACAGACGCTATCTCTGGCTACTCTTTGATTGTCGCAAGCACTTCCACTTCCAACCCCACCCCAAAACAAGCAGCTATGACACTAACGGATCCCAAACTTGTTCCGACAGCGGACGAAATCAAGGTAGAACATGAGCAAGTCATTATCATTAGCGCCGGTCTAGTTGGGCTGCTCCTGGCTTTGAAGCTGGCAAGAGAAGGGATTGACGTGCTAGACTTTTGAAGCGGAAAAGCAAATATTGGAAAGTCCACAAGCAACTACATATGCATTTGCTCCTAGATGTAGCTGTTTGTCACTCAAATATGCAGTTTTGAGTTGATCCGCTATTAGTTCAGCGTTGGGCCAGGCGCGGTGCTGACCATTTCTTATATTAGTTACGTGCCCATTGTGCTCATCGAAATGGAGAAGGTCGGCATATACGAGGACCTCGAGCGAGCTGGCCACAAGAACGTGGAAGGAATTACGTTTCGGGAATCCTACACAAAGGGCGGAGACGTCTTGGCTCGACTCTAGATGTCGCTCGTTCCGAGAGGCATAGTTAAATACAAGTTCACTAGAATCCACATCGGCTAGCATGTCCTCGCAGAGATTATCTTAAAGCACTGCGAGCGACAAAAGACCTTCCGAGTCTCTTATGTTCGCAGGTTTGCAGGCGTCAAGAAAACCACAAGCAACAAACTGGTTGATGTAACGTGTGTTGGGCCTGTGGGCGAGGCCTTCTTCTCCCGGGACTATCTCATAGGGGCAGACGGAGCCGGGAGCTTAGTTTGTCGAGCACTGTGCATCGCCTTTGGGCGATTCACGTGGAACGACTTCTGCTTTGTAGCATCAAACGCGATCTATGATCTTTAGGGCCTTGGAGACTTTACCGCAGGCAACATGATTATAGATGAAGAGGACTAGGCAGTTAGTAATTACCTGAACAGGGCTAGGCAATGCTTATTGGCGGGTGGCGTTTAGGGTGCGCACTGATATCCCCGAGTCTGAAATCCTGAAGTAGCTCCCTGAGACATACGAGAGGTTTGCTTCCTGGACCTAGGCCGCTCAAATAAGATGTGGTCAGCGCGAATCCTTACTAGGCACATCAACGTGTTGCGAAGATGTTCAGGATTGGGAGAGTCTTGCGTCGTGGCAATGCCGGATGCGTGAGTCCACCAAGTATGTCCTTCGGTTTACATTTAGCTCATCAGCATATATTAGTCGAATAACCTAATCGGCAGACTCGGATTGACAACTAACCTGCTTGACGCCGCCCGCCCAAGGCAACTACTTTATACGAGTCTACCAGCATGCCAAGCTAGCTGGTCAACTGCTAGATACCTATGCCAAAGTGCGTCGGGACGCATGGATAAATTAAACGAACAAACTGTCCACTGAGTTCAAGCTGCGATGCCACTCCTTCCATCCTAACGTCGTGGCGGCTCGAGAGGGCTTCTTTGACGCACTTACAACGATCCCTCGATCAATATCAAGATCGCAAATCAGATGGATGAGGTGATTGGTGCTGAGGAAGGGGAATAGAACCCCGGTATATTAGAAAACCAACCACACTACAACGAAACAAGAGAAAAGGGTAGAGAGAGATACTCAACGACATTGTAGATAGCTCTGCTAGTGCGCGCGTCTTGGGCGGCGACGCCAACGGCATGGCCATGGATGAAGACGAAGATGAGGGCCCTCTTTATGTGGAGCGCGTCTGGTGCGCATCGCAGGAAAAGGAAAAGAGGCCCGGTACCCGGTAAAGGAGAGATGACAGGGTTGGCATGAGGGCAGCATAGCATGGGCGGTGACAGGTTGTTTATGAACGTCTATGACCATATCTAGAAGTTTTGATCTAAATACGACCTTAATCATATGAGCCAATGATGCCCATCCGCCTCTGCCCTTCATCCACGGCGGTGGATAGGTCGCTTCCCATCCACTGTGGCTGTACTCGGTGGATCGCTTGTTCTATCTCTATGGCGTTATTTCCCGCTACCCAAAGCGTCCGCCCATTCACTTCCGGTCTTACGGCAGGTATCAGCAGCGCCCTTGCGACGCCGTCGGGGTTGTTTGCAGGGAGATCTCCCCACAGGTCCTGGATCCATTGAGGTAACATGGCCGTCACTTCGAGGACGTATGTCAGCCGAGACGTAATTACTGTTATCATTGCCCATGGAAGATGGCTAGGCGAAGAGAAACGTACCTGTCATCCAAGGTGCGATCATGTTTATGGTGACATTCCTCTCCGGCATCTTGGTTCTCATTCCCCTCATCAGCCCGAGAACTCCGGCCTTACCGGCGCAGTAGAGGAACAATGGGGGATTATCGATAATGCTAAGCCACAGTTAGTTGTCGTCAGAATAATAGGCTATACACGGGGACAGAACGAGCAAGAGAAAATACCTTGCCGCTGATCCTGTCAATACCAGCTGGCACTTCTTCTCGGGATGTTTCGCGAAGAAGTGGATAGCGGCCTTGGTCGTATAGATGGCTCCGAAAAGGTTGACCTGCACGTTGTTCAACTTCGGCGCCCGAAGCTTCCCCGTCTCCTTGTCTATCTCATCTTCAAGCAGATTGTCCCCGACGCTTGTACCCGCATTTCCGTATACGACGTCGACGCTCTTGAACGTATCGTAGGTTGTCTGGAATAGCGACAATACAGAATCCCAGTTCGATACGTCAGTCTCGACGAAAATGGCGCGGCTAGAGCTCAGTCAATACGCGGACAATAGATAGGAGGACGGACGCAAAACTTACTCTTGCAGCTCAGCTGCGAGGGCTTCCCCCGCTGCCTTGTTGACGTCGGCGATAGCGACGTTTGCTCCGGCAGCTATCACATGCCACATCAGATGAGTCAGTGCGTTATCCAAACAGTAGTAGTATTGCAGCTGTACCATGTGCTATGAGAACTGTTGCCCGTCCGATTCCACTTGCACCTCCGGTCACAATAATCGTGCGTCCTTTAAGCGTCGCAAGCTCTTGCTTGGTAATGCTGTCCAAAGTAGACATCTTGTCAGTATAGTGGGTGGACTAATCTCGAACAATTCTGAAAAGCTTAAGCAGTGTAACCTCTTTAGAAGCGAGGATGCATTTATTAATTCGCGCAAGAAAAGAATCAGAGTCCAGCGTGGAGCGCAACTACGAAAATCATCAAGACGGACTACGAGCGGGGTAAAAGGCGGGGGTCGGCAATTAGGGCCTGCGGGCTCGGGCTCCTTCATAAAGTCGTAGAAGTCTAGACGCGGGGTAACCTCTCTACCTTGCCTATTCAGGAACAGTACTGAAGCCAAGCCGAGACACCGCTTCAACTATACTAAATTAGTGCTTCAACCACTCACCCCACTTGTCTCCATGCAATACGGTCTAGCGGCATGCTCCCCCACCTGGACCCCTCACTCGCAATCCATCTGAATGGGGTTATGATCAAGGTCATCAGTTTAATCATGTATAGGTATTGCCCATAGATCCACCGACAGCGACGAACAAATTCCCCTAGCCTTGCGCAGTCTTCCATCGAGTTTCTACCACGAGTTATCCTGTTGTGCTGTTAATTCATCGTCAGATATCAGACATGGCTGGAAATCGCTTGAAGGGCAAGGTTGCCATTGTAACTGGTAATTATATCTCCATCTTCTTCCTTCTGGCTTTCTTTTCTTCCCTGATCGACCATTTTGGGAGCTAGTTGTGTTGTCCATTTTTTTCTTACCAAGTCCTCTCCGCTGACCATTTTCAGGTGGCGCATCCGGTTTCGGCGCGGCAACGGCACAGCTGTTTGCTACAGAAGGTGCATCTGTTGTAATCGCCGACCTCAACGACACCGACGGCCAGAAGATTGCTGCGGCAAACCCGGAGAAGATTGTGTACCAGAATGCCAACATCGCGAAACAAGAGGGCTGGGCTAAGCTCCTGGAGACGGTGAGCCAGAGGTTCGGCCGCCTTGATATCGTCGTCAACAATGCCGGCACGAGCTACGCAAACAAGCCAACCTTGGAGGTGACGGAGGAGGAGTTCGATGTCACCATGACCGTCAACGTCAAGAGCATCTTCTGGAGCATCAAAGAGTGCGTGCCAGTTATGTTGGAGTCTGGACCTGGAGGCTGTTTCGTCAATGTTGCGTCGATTGGCGCAACGAGACCCCGGCCGGGTTTGGTGTGGTATGCTGTTAGCAAGGGTGCCGTCGCAAACGTGAGTGCCAGTCTTATTGCTTCCCTAGTGCTTTCTCGACCTGCCGTTTTTTTGTGTCTCCGTGCAGGAAACACATGCATCAGAAGCTGACCTCACGGAATTGTTGAACATGGCGCAGGCAACGAAAGGTCTCGCAGCTGAATTTGCTCCCAAGGGCATCCGCGTCAACTCAGTATGCCCCCTCCTATCAGGAACGGGACTGTGGGAAAAGTTCACCGGCATAGCGGATACCCCCGAGAACCGTAAGAAATTCATCAGTGACGTGCCGATGGGGCGCCTGACCGACCCCAAGGATGTTGCGAATGCCATTCTTTTCCTCGCCAGCGACGAGGCCTCCTTTATCGTTGGTGTGAACATGGAAGTCGATGGCGGGAAAACAATTTGAGGATCTGCGGTTGAGAAAGCCGACATCCAGGTGTGGGCAGAAGATCATGCAAATAGATATCTCTGGAAGATGTAACAGTGGATGGTGAGACCAGTCAAACTTGTGAAGTGGCTCGGCTGCATGGAATAGACTTAGACTATATCTACCCACTTTTACACGTCTAGACTAGAACATCAACCCATGTCTCCATCGTATTTTTACACTTTACGCAGCAGGCGGTCTTGATTCTTGGGAGCCACCGTTGTGTTGAGGACACAGGACAGAGCCTGAGCCTGCCTGTGCGAGGAATTTCCTCTTTGCACGATACATCATGACGGCAGTTTCGCGCGCGGTTGACCCAGGTCACGGCCAGCTTATGAGACAGAAAATCCGTGAGCCAGACAACGCCACACCTCTCTTCGAAATCGGCAAACTCTGCCGGCCAGGGTTGGACTTTGACGGCTTTGATTTGGACTGGTGAGTTTGGGGACCAGGCAATAGAACTAATCATCTGAGAGGATAGAGGCGAGAGCTGGCAAAGTGCCAGAAGGTAGGTTTTCCCCAGAAAGTTGAGGACATTGATGATGACCCTGTCCCCAACTTCCGCCTCGATACGTGGAATCGGCCATTGGCCGTTGATTCCAATGGTAGGGCAGTCTGCCTGCTCTTGTTCTTGCCAACGATGTTGATGTGGCAGCCGCTCTGTTCCTAGAGATCGCGGATGGTCTTACCCTCGCGTCCACTGATTAGGCCGACGGTTCTGTCGGGAACCATGATCTGGAGGCAATCTGCGTCCTCCTTTATAGAAACGGATTCCGGAGCACGTGGATGTTCACGTCCGGTGTCCAGGTCTGCACGGGCAATCGCTCCCATGCCACTGTCCTCGATGATTCTATTAATCGCGGCTCTAGCCTCGGCGTGACGACCCATGGATGGCGACCTAGCTGACTATGCAGTCCAAGAACGACCTAACCGTCAGTCAACGAAACCAGTCTAACCACGGGAGATCATCAGCCTCTTGTATGCTCCCTCGCCTTGAGGATACTTCTGCTGTGCGCCAGACATGGTGGGCACGTACACTTACGCCTCCGGAAGAATCCAATGTGCTGACCGCGTGTAATAGGACCTCGCCAGCCTTGGCTCTCCCAGTTCCGATGCTACCATCTTGCATCGTCCAGGTTCTCAGTCATTGGTGTAGCAGTGCCTTGCGTATCAGCAGTAGCAGTGCCTTGCAACTCTCTACGCCGTCTTCATCCTGTCGAGTCTACTCGTCTCGGCGTATAACCACACGCCGGCCTTGACGAACTTGGAGACCCTCCTTGACCTCCCTTGCGAACGGCCGCGGCGGTGGCGTTGTACTTTGTGAATGTGGAGATTTTGGCGCGGAGGGTGTGGACGACTTTGAAGAGCTGGTGGTCCAAGATAGGCAAGTTGGATTAGCTGGAGGATCGGCGGCAACGGCAGTACCGGCGGCGGCGCGCCCACGCCCGTCAGCCTCGAGGCCGACCTGGCGCACTACCGGGAGCTGTTCGCCAAGCTGCGCTTCAGCTACGTCGAGCAGATGACCAAGGAGAAGTTCATCCGCGCCGTCGTCGGCGACCCGCCCATGATCGTCGCGCCGCACGAGAACGCCGCCCTCGAGGCTAGCGACGCCGTTCTTGAGTTACAACGGGGTATTATAGCGAGCTACACCCGATGGAACCATGGAACGATGCGTAGAAGGGCAGGACGACGACCTCATATCCCGAGCCGCCCTGTTCTACCCGATCAACACTGAGGTGAAACGGGTGATCGCTGGGAGGCTCATAGACCTGACGCCAATCTGCCAGGCCTGCTTCCACGGGCCGGAAAGAGCGTCATCACGCCCCGACTCAATAGTCGCAAAGCTTGTGAAATTCAGGCCATGGCTCATAATTGAGTCCTTGCGATTGAGGGCCGAGCCCTTAGCCGTGTGCCTGTCCTTGTGGCGGTTGCATAGGTCTAGTCAGACGAAAGTCTGATTACACTCACCCTAGTCGCACCTGTAGACCTGCTTAGGGTTATGGTTAAGTTCATGTCGGTAGCTTTGGTAAATCGTCAGTCACACCTCTCCCTGTTGCCAACAGCACAGGCTGACGAATACTTAACAGAAGGATAGGGTCGTGCTGGCCAGTATTTAGGGATACAGCCGTGGGGAAATTGCCAGTCGCGAAAGGTGCATATCTCAGCCACGGTGACCACTTCGGGGCTCGGGTGCACCTCGACTCCTAACGTGGCAAGCAGTCATAGCATCGGGGGTCTTGAGTTGAGGGGAGGAGCTAGCACTTAACGTGCGCAGACGTGGGCCTCTTACTTCTCAGTGGCCTGCTGGTAATCTACTAGTTGCTCCCCTTTCCCTCGCGTGCTTTACTCTAGGCTCGAACCACTTGATATTTATATGCTACATGAGATAAAACGAAATTAAAATAGCGGAGAGATTCCACATCCCCAACCACTTGAGATCGATCCTATCATCGCGTGTGATGTTAGCTGTACCATTGGTCCAAGTAATTTAGGTCAAGTTCCCAAGGTACAATATTGACATGCCATTAAACTACAATGCTTTCTACAACGCGTCGCACGAAAAGTTAGGAAGAAGTGTTTCATGATTGACATAAGTCACAAAGCTAGTACTTGGTGTGCACCGCCTCTACACACTCTCTTTCAATGAGAGCTGCGTGTTGTGGGCTCCTAGGCTTGATCTTTACTGCAAATGGCGCCTTGCCATGGGTGATCTGAGGGATCGTCATGGTGTCGATTGGATGGGCCTTGACGAACGATATGGTCAGCAAAACAATGTGGCCCCGGAGGTAAGGAAGTGGGCTCTCTCTACTAACCTTGTCTTCTTCGAAATCGAAACAGTAGAGAAGTCGTGCGATGGCAATCCAAACATTCATTTCGCCAACGCTCCAGCCTACACAAACTCGTCGTCCTGTAATTATCACCTGGCGTCAGGACCGGCTCGAGGATAAATGATACTAATAAAGCTTAGGAGAGGCTTACCTGGTCCAAACCCAAAGTGCCCTTTCAGAGGATTCAGAAGATTCTCGTCAAGAAACCTGTCAGGGTTAAATCGCTCAGGCTCTTTGTACTCGTCTGGGCTAAGAGCAATTGCCCAGGCGTTCCAAGTAAACACTGTTCCAGCAGGGAATTTGTAACCCTCGTACTCATCATCCTTGATCAGCATTGTTGGTGTTCCAATTTCCGCAATGTTGGGTCTCCAGCGGAACCCTTCTTTCACCACAGCACTGATATACGGAAGCCGTCCCTGATCTCGATCCTCCCATGAAGGAAGTCGCTCGGCATTATGACCGCAGACAGCATCGAGCTGTGCTCTTGCCCTCTGGACCCAGTCTGGATATGTCGCCGCGCCAGCTATGATCTGGCCGATGGTGACTCTCGAGGTGTCGCTGCCAGCCTCCATGAGGGTCCCCATGGCGAATAGTTTCTGTGTCTCATCAAACTTGAGCTGTCCCTCGTCAATCGTGCGCAGGAAGTCGACGGCAAAACAATCCTTTTGGGTTCCGTTTCCCATGTTTTCAATGACGAGATCCACCTCTCTCTTGTAGACCCTATATACAACAACAACATTAGTAACACATCTGAAGCGATTTTCGGAATGCGGGCTGTTAAGTCTCTCACCGCCTGGTCATTTCGAAAATTCTTTCGCCTCGGCCACGCCACCACTGCATAAACTTTGGCAGCTTGGTCAAGACCGGGAATGCATCCACCAAATTGACTCCCGGCTGTTGCTCTTCAAAGAAGACGTCGATTGTCTCGAAGAGTTCTCTCATGTTCGGGTTATCCATGTCCGATCGTCTTCCGAAAACGACGCTCATGATGACCGAGTTGGCAAATCGGCCATTAGCAACATACCACTTCTCTGGTTTGTGCAGGTAATCGTAAAGAAGATGCTTGGATTCTAGATCCTGGAAAGGCCGGAAGACGTCCTTTTGTCGCGTACTCAGGATGTTGTGCATGATCTTCCTCAACTGGCGCCACTGATCATTGTACGGCATGAGCAGGATTCGGGCATCACGTGAAATAATACCTTGGGCCATGGGAAACTGGGGTCGTGAGCAGTAAATTGCCGCTCGACGCTCCATGAGATCATTAACGACGCGGGAGGAGTTGAGAAACACCCAAGTACTGCCCCCGAAAGTCACGGTGAACCTGGAGTTGTATCAGCACAAATGTTGCGGCACTGGGGACTCTGCCTGACGTATCGTACATCTCGCCATATTTCTCTGCGAGCTTCTTTGCCCATGGACCTTGCTGAGTTGCGGGAGGCTGAAAAGAGTTCCCGAAAATCGGAACGCCAGGGACACGTGGGGGGAGTTTGTATTTGGATTTCCTGACCATGCCGGCGATGAAGCTCTGCGCGAGATACAATCCCAAGGCGCAGAGCGCCGTCTGAAGGTAAAACCATGGATCCGTGGCACCCCCAAGACGATGCTCAGACAAGAGGACGTCGACGGGATTCATGATGTGAAGGCGACACGGAACATCTGGATAATGTGTTGTCGATATTTCAGCGGTTGGTACCAGGCCGCCGGGAACGGGTGTCGTTGGAGGGGGTGTGGTGAGGGGGTGTGGTGTAGGTTTGTCGCTTGGCGGGGTGTTTCCTCGTTGGTCAACTTGACAGAATTAAGTAACCACCTTTTATGCAGAAATTAAAGCTTGAAGGGTGAATCACTTAGTTGCTGCGACGGAGCTTTGGCACTAGACTCGCTCGGGAGATTGTTGCCGACTGACAGAGGGAAAGATCAAAATCGAACGAGATGGACTGTGGGGTACTCCAGAGTTGGAACAAAAGAGGAAATCTTCGCGCGGGGAATTGTGGGGTAGGATGTGGGGGTCATGCGTAAAGAGTATGGCTCGGTCGGATATAGACAATCTCTCTCCACGTGCGTGGTACGGATTACAGTTGCCGGCTCTAGCTAGCCCCACTTGTCCTTCACTAATTCGAACCATTCAAAAAGCAGCCCCTATGTACACTAGATTCATGGTACGACGCGAGGGGAATCCACGCACAACCCTGCTTACGAGTAGTATTACCTCCCATACTGACAGACAGAGTTCTGCCCACGCATTAATAACATCCATCATGAGTTCGGCACAGGCATCGGGATTCCGAAAGGTACCGCTGAGATTTTGCTTTGGGGCCTATTTTGAGTGGAGTGCTGATATTTCCGTTCTAACAGCTTATCATCGTCGGTGCAGGCCCAGCAGGGCTTCTGCTCGCACTGCTCCTCGGCAAAAAAGGTGTTCGAATAGACATCTTGGACGCAGCAGACAAACTGGACGAGCAGCCGCGGGCGACTCACTACAACTCCCCAGCGACACGTGAGCTTCACCGCGCAGGTGTGCTTGAAGATGTTCGCGCTGCCGGTTTCATTCCCCGGAGAGTGGCCTGGCGCAAAGCGGACGGTACATTCCTCGCCGGTCTTGATGGCTCGGTCGTTCCGGAGGACAGCCAGGACAGGATGGTATGCCTGCCTCTTAACCGTCTGGGGAAGATCATCCTTCAGCACCTACAATCGATCCCTTCCGTGGACATCAAGTGGTCTCATAACGTCGTCAGCCTAGGACAGGATGAGACAAAGGCCTGGGTAGATGTTGACACACCTGAAGGACGGCAAACCTTGGACGCCGACTACATTATTGGATGCGACGGTGCTAATAGCATCATTCGCCGTGCCCTCCAAGGCGATATGAATTTCCCAGGAAAGACTTGGCATGAACAAATCGTGGCAACAAATGTAAGTCTTCTACTTAAATGACGGTCTCCCACGGACTGTGTCTAACTGTACCCTTGTTTCTAGGTCTACTATGACTTCGACCAATTTGGGTGGGACGATGCAAATTTCATCATTGACCTCGAACATTGGTTCATGGCATCGAGAATTGGCAAGGACGGCCTATGGCGGGTCTCGTATGGAGACATTCCCGGCCTTTCTAGGGAAGAATACCTTGAACGTCAGCCCATGAAATACGAGCAGATGCTCCCAGGGAATCCAAAGCCCGGCCAATACCGAATCACTAACATCAGCCCGTACAAGATCCATCAACGTTGTGCAGAGAAATTCCGCATTGGCCGTTTCATACTTGCCGCCGATGCGGCCCATCTGTGTAATCCATTGTATGATAACCTCTTACATCTTTAGTGCATGCGGCCCGAAGACAAGTATAGAAGATGTGTTCTTGCTAACAGAACTCCAGTGGTGGACTGGGTCTTACAGGCGGTTTCGCCGACGTTGGCAGTTTGTACGACTGCTTGATTGGGATCCACGAGGGCAAAGCCGACGACTCGATTCTCGACGAATACGATCAAGTACGACGGGACCTGTATCACAATTTCATCGACCCGGCGTCGAGCGAGAATTTGCGCCGCCTCAACGGTCAAGATCCCGACCAGGCACTAAAACGCGATGGATTCCTGCAGCAGTGTGTCAAGGCTGCCTCAAACCTGGAGCTCGCACGAGAAATGCAAATGGTGAGTGCTCGCTCAATGAATATTGGAGGCCGCAGGCTCCACCGTAAAACGACACCATACTCATGGTTTGTAGGGCCTCAACGTGATACTCCACGACTTCACCCAGCACTATCGGAAGGATCCCGAAGCGGCCGTCGTTGCCAATTCTGTATGAAGCTCTTCTGACGGGGAAATCAGTACCGGCAAACAATACAGAAAGACACCTTTCTTAAGACAGGGCATGAAGTTCAGCAGGTTGGAAGCTCGCCCGTGGGATTTGGGCACCACTAAGTGAAGTAGAGTTGGTATTTTTCTACAAGAGCATAGCGTAACTAGTAGCGGGAAGCTCCAACAGCATAAGGCGAGCGGTCGTGAACCTCGTTCCTACGCTACCTGTTTTCTTCAAATTACTTCAATATCTGGAATTCGCAGACTGTAGTAATTTCCTTATTCGGCTGGGATTTGATACTCGATGCTTCAATGTGCCAAGCCAGTCTCTCAACATTGTCTGACGTTACTAGAAGACTCAGCTGTGGAGTGGATAAAAATGCCCCCCGCCCAGAATGTTCCCTCTATAATTAATATGGTGGGGACAATTCAAGAGTCCGTTTCCCCAGCCGACCCCGCTCTGGTTCACTGGATTTATAACTTACTCTTTGCCAGTCGGGGAAGTGAGGGAAAAGAGCCCCGAGGCAGGAAGTGATTCGCTCTCCAAACGCTGCCGCCATGTCTTCCATATCGACGCAGAAAGTCCAGTCCAAGGACGAGACGCTTGAGCTGGCTACTTTTCTGTCACAACTTACCTACCAAGAACTCCCTCGAGAAGTCATTGACCAGGCCAAGTGGTGCATTCTCAACATCCTCGGTTGCGCTCTCGGCTCATCAGATGCTTCACCCCACCGAAAAGCCCGCGCAGCACTCGATCCAAAGGAAACGACACCGGCGCAGGGAGCCACTGTTTGGGGCCGGCCAGAGCGTGCCGATCTACAGACAGCCGCCATCCTCAATGGCATCGCAGCCACGACGGCGGACTACGATGACGCCCATCTCCGTACCGTCATTCACCCTTCGTGCACCTCCATCGCAGCTGTGTTGCCCTGGGCGGAAATACATCACGTTTCAGGGAAGGAGGTCATCCTAGCTTTCGTCGCGGCTGTCGAGGCGCAGTGCGCCATCGGGATGGCGGTGTCCCCTTCAAGCTACGCGAACGGCTGGTAAGGAAACCGAGCGCTAACCCCGTCCTTGCGAACAGCACTGTGGGCTAATAAGGTGAAATTCAGGCACATTACAGGGTTAACCGGGTCATTCAGTGGCGCGGCTGGCGCTGCGAAACTGTTGCATCTCCCCCCTCATCAATTCGCAGCCGCTCTGGGCCACGCGTCCAGTATGGCATCAGGGACACGCGCCATGTTCGGGACAGACACCAAGACACTGCACGCAGGTTTGCACGCAAGCAATGGTATCCTCGCTGCCCAGCTCGCCAAGACCGGATTTGCCAGCTGCGAGGCGCCCATCGAGGCCTGGGCGCGACTAGTCTCCACGACGAACGACAACAGTCAAATCGGTGCGCTGGCAAGGGGCGGTCCCTGGCAAATACTCGAAAACGGGTTCAAGCCTTATCCATGCGGCATCGTGATCCACCCGCTCATCGATGCCTGTCTCGAGTTGTTCTCCTCGTTCAACCAGGCCGCAAGCCTCGGAGGGCCCGCGGAGCTAGAAGACATCGCCGGAATCCAGGTCACGGCTAACCCTCAACTGATCAGGCTGTGCAATGTGCGGCATCCGCGCACGGGACTCGAGACCATCTTCTCTCTCTATCACGGATGCGCCGTCGCCTTGGTTCACGGTCGTGCCGGTCCTGCCGAGTTCTCGGATGCCGTCGCCGCGGACGATCTCGTCGTGCGCAGAGTAAGAGATCTGATTGAGGTCCAGACCGACCCCGAGTTTCGCGACGATGAGGCGCAGCTGGTGTTCATTTCACGCGGCATCGCTCTGGCTGGTGGGGCATCTACGAGGAGGACTATCTACGTAAAACACGCGACGGGTTCGGTTGGCAATCCAATGACCAAGGCTCAGTTGGAAGAGAAGTTTCTCGCTCAGGCAACCGGATGTCTTGGTATGGAGAGGGCCAAAGAGGCGATGGAGGCTTGTTGGACACTCGATTCGATAGATGATGTAAGCGATTTCGCTAAGCTATTCGGTCTATAGAGTCTAGACAAAAGCCACAAAAAACTCGAACCCCATCCGCAACTACGGAGTACCACAGTATGCCAGAGAGAGTGTGGGGATTTGTGGGGCGTGAGGGGCTTGGCTGTAAGAGGAAAGGCCTTCCTTGGGGATTTGTGGGGTGCGGGGTTTGGCCGTAAGAGGAAAGCCTTCCTTGGGGATTATGGGGTAGGATCTGCCCATGACCCCGCCCTTTTTGCGCATGAACCCCATCCCAGCCGTGGCTTAGAAGTAGAGGGAGATGTACAGAGTACTCCGTACAGATGGCCCCCTTGCCAACTGTATGTACACTCCTTAATCGCAGACCCTCCTTCCCATTGAGACTCGATCGCTATCTACAGTCCCATCAAAAGCGGGAGAAATGAGCAACAAAGTCTTGGTCATCACGAAGCCGGCCCTAGGCCGGTACTCAGCCGATTGCCTCCGCCTGGAAGAGCACAAGACGGTACCCCTGGAGCCTGGCGAAGTGCGACTGCGGACCATTTACCTCTCGCTAGACCCGACAAACAGGAACTGGCTGAAGCTTGGGAATGCAACCACGGTCGTCGACAAGGTCGACGTCACCCTCAAGGTCGGCGACGTCATGCTGGGCCAGATGCTCGGGGTGATCGAGGAGTCACGCGCAGATGGATATAACCCAGGTGACCTAGTCGGCGCTTTGGCCAGATGGGAGACGCATCCCGTGGTAAAGGCAAAGCTGGTCCGGCGCATCACTCCTGCCCCGAACGAGCCCTTTTCGACCTATCTCTCTCTTTTTTCCCACATCGGCCGCGCGGCGCTCATCGGCATGAAACATGTGCTCGACGTGCAAGCCGGAGAGACGGTGCTGGTTTCGGGAGCAGCTGGGGCAACGGGCTCGGTGGCAGTGGGCATTGCGAAAGCGAGAGGTTGCAGGGTGGTCGGAATAGCCGGAGGGGCGGCCAAGTGCGCGCTGGTGACCGACGAATTTGGCGCCGATGCAGCCATCGACTACAAGAACGAGGACGTTGGTGAAGCCCTGGGCCGAATCTGCCCGGAGGGAGTCGACGCCTTCTTCGACAACGTCGGCGGCCAGACCTTGGACGCAGCGCTCCTCCACATGAACAACTGCGGTCGTATCGCCGTGTGTGGCGTCATGTCCGACTACGACAATGCCACGCCAGAGGCTGGTTACGGCGTGCGCAATCTTTTCCGTGTTCTGATCCGACGACTGCGGATAGAAGGCTTCTTGGCCGATCAGGCCGAGGAAGAGCCTCTCATTGAAGAGCTCAGGGGGTTGTTTCAAGCGGGTGCCATCAAACATCGGCCTCACATCGTCCAAGGCTTTCAGGACGCGCCGGAGCACCTCGGACTTCTCATGCGTGGCCAGAATGAAGGGAAGCTCATGGTTCAAGTCTCTCCGGAGGTTTAGGCATAGTGGGGTCGAGGGGCATTTGCAATAGAAACAATGTTAGATTCATTCACCTAGGAATGCAGCTAGTAACCTCCTGTGGATCTGTCTCTTCAAATGGATGAAAGCTCTTCTGATTTATTTTATGAGCTCCGCCGGGTGTACCCTTGTTTTCCGCTGCGTGCACCTCTTTTCAGCCAGAATTCTGATGTAAAGTTAACTTTCTACCTGCCTATAGAGGATAACAGTGATCATGATTATGAACCATCACCAAGCACAGCGCTAGCAGCACTTTAAATAACTACAAGGAAGCAAGACAGGTCAAAGATATTGGCAGAGATACTACAGGCAGGTTAGGTTACCGCACACTTTGTCCTGCCCTAGGTCTGTCAGCTAGGCTGGTTGGAGGCTTCTTTCAGAGGGAAGATTTTCTCTACCGTGTTATGCCAAACTTATGCGATATCCCTTGCCAAGAGGTATATGTTTAAAGGTAGTCTCATACAGATGCCTACATCTGTGGCAGGCAGTGAGCATAGGTGGAAGGCAAACATGTGACTGTGTGACTAATTGGAAAAGGCTGGGCTCAGCGGAAAATGGGAGTACACCTAGGGGAGCTTTATTTTATTTGGGCTACAGAGCAGCGATCTTCAGCCATCTTCCAAAGTCACTTACGATCTTAGGGTTAGGGTTAGGGTTAGGGTTAGGGTTAGGGTTAGGGTTAGGGTTAGGGTTAGGGTTAGGGTTAGGGTTAGGGTTAGGGTTAGGGTTA